GTGTGTGTGTGTGTGTGTGTGTGTGTGTGTGTGTGTGTGTGTGTGTGTGTGTTGTCTGACCTTGCTGGTTGCTTTGGGTCAGGGGTGAGGTGTACAAGACTAAAAGCTGTGTAGAGGAAAGAATGGCCAGATGGAGCCACTCACCTCTCCGGCTGCCCCACCAGGCTCCTGTCCCCGTCCCCACAGGGCATCGCAGGCACAGATGTGGCTAAGGAGGCCTCGGACATCATCCTGACAGACGACAACTTCAGCAGCATTGTCAAGGCGGTGATGTGGGGCCGTAACGTCTATGACAGCATCTCCAAGTTCCTGCAGTTCCAGCTGACTGTCAATGTGGTGGCTGTGATCGTGGCCTTCACAGGCGCCTGCATCACGCAGGTGGGTCCTGGGAGAATCGTACCGAAGGCTGGGAAAGGGCAGCCTCTGGGACATCCTAGGTTGTTAGGATCACTATGCTGGAGGTGGATACACAGTCATGGCGTGCCTCCCCTAAGCAGGGCTCCATCATAATCCTCGTGCACCCGCCAGCCCTGTGCAGTCGAGAAACGAGGCGTAGAGAGGTACTGTGACTCAGGTGTCCCCAGAAATGATGGGTATCAGGCCTCATGACCATCTCTCCAACTGCACCAGCCTGACCCTTGCCCCAGGGGCTGGCAGAAGCTGGGGCAGAGGCAGTGCAGGCCCGAGGGAGATCATTGGAAAGCTGAGGACCCAAGGCTAGCCAGGCCCAGGGGGCCTTTGCTCTGGAGTGGAGAGGATTAGGAGGGGTGGGGTAGAATATAGAAGACAGCAGGGTTCCTTCTGTCTGTCCAGATCACTGAAGTCCTCAGCATGCTGCTCCCTGAGGCAGGTGGAGCTAGGTGGAGTGAGTACCATTTCACAGAGGCAGAGGCAGGCTCAGAGGAAAGAATGGCCAGGCATCCACTCTGGCTCCTGACCCTGTGACCAGACAATCTCCCGGAAGCTGGCTTTCTGGTCTGGGGAAGGAGAGCGACTTCCGTTCTAAGGGAATCTCAGAGGGCTGACAGCTCCCAGTCACCACCCAGGTATACAAGCCCCTACAGGGGAACCCAGAGCCCAATGTGCAGCTGTCCCCAAGGACCACATGGTCAGTAGGATGCTGTTCCCCTCTGCTGCGACTGCTGTCACGGTGATGCTCACAGAGGCTGCAGTATTGCAGTATTGACCATGCACCAGAGAGTTGGAGTCGGGCTTCCCTGTCTGTTTAGGGAGCCTCTCCTCCTGGTCCGTGGGTGAAAAGCTCCCTCTAGTGGTGCCTTGGAGACATTGCCAAACAGCTTCCTGGAGACTGGATGGATGCCAGAAAGAAAACAGGTTCGGAGACAAGGATCAGTTGGCCCAGCATCCCTGACTGAGCAGGGCCATGCAGACTTCGGTGGGAAAATTACACACCTGACCCTGAGATTCTTGTAATCAGATAAAGCAAAAAGGCAGGAGAAAGCTCAGAGCCTCAGTCCTACCAGGCAGGGGGAGAGAGCAGAAGCAGCCCGGGGAAGCACAGGGAAGGCAGACAGGAGGCTGTTAGGCTTTCAGAGCAGATGGGCTTCCTGGAGGGGTGTTTCATGGGTCACAAGATGATCCAGGGTAGAACCAATGGCAAGGGACTGGGTTCTGGGTAAGGTCGGCTCTGGCTGCTGTGGGCAGGGCCTGCCGTTGTGAGGTGTGAAAGATAAGTGGCTCGGCTCCTTTGGTCAGTGTACACAGAGCATGCCCCGTCCAGCCTGAACCCAGCAAAGCAAATCTGACAGCATCCACAATGGCATGCTTGTGGCGATAGCCTTTGTTTTGGCTTCCTGTTCTGCTTACTTGATGGGCTTCCTGTCATGCATGATAGGGCGATTCTTTTGGTGCTGTAGTTATAAAATTTAGTTTAAGATGTAAGATGATGAGGAGTAATGTGGAAGTGGGTGCAAAGGTCAAGAACATTGTCACCAAGACAGGAGAGCCTTGAACCCCTGAGACTGAGGGGCAGAGGCAGCAAGAAGTTAAGAGTTTGGGTGTTGGCTTCAGATGGCAGTCAAGGATGTGGCTGAGTCTACCAGAAGTCAGGGAGCCTGTGGGCCCAGGACTAAGGTGGGCTGTTCATACTGTTGTCCTCCATAGAAGCTTCAAGAACCTGCCACATGCATACTCAGAGAGCCGAAGCCTGAGCAGCCTGCATCCTGTAGGGAGAACCTGCAGCGCCCCCATCCTATACCCTGTGGCTCTGGTGGCTCTCTGTGACAGTCCTCTCCCTGCCACTGTCGTAGGACTCCCCTCTCAAGGCTGTGCAGATGCTCTGGGTGAACCTCATCATGGACACCTTTGCCTCTCTGGCCCTGGCCACAGAGCCACCCACCGAGACTCTGCTCCTGAGGAAACCTTATGGCCGTAACAAGCCACTCATCTCACGGACCATGATGAAGAACATCCTGGGTCATGCCGTCTACCAGCTCACCCTCATCTTCACCCTGCTCTTTGTAGGTGAGTGCCCCAGTACTCACCCCTCTGTGGCCAGGCCACCCTCTTCCTGGGTGAGCACCCCAGTACCCACTCCTCTACGGCCAGGCCGCCAGCTTCTGGATACACCACAGCCCATATCCAACAGCTGGCTTTACACACACCATCCTGTTTCGCTCGTCGGAAAACTGAGGCATAGGAGGAAAATGTAGATGACAGCACACGGGGAGCCAAAAGCAGTCATGCCCTCTCCCAGGCTGGCTGACCTCAAAGACAGCTGTAGTGTTAGCATCCAGAACTGATGAAAGCTCTATGTTAGCCTCTCAGAGCCAAGGCCTGGGGCCAAGCCAGCTGCCCCTTCCCTGATCCCTTATAGCAACTTCTTGCCCCAAGAAGATGTCTTCATGGAGGACCGAGACTTCGTTGGGGAGGAACATACAGCCTGTTGGGACTGTCAGCTTCTCACTGGGGGCTAGCTCTCTGGCCATTCAGAGCCAGGTGCCTGCACCTGTGCCCTAGTCAGTGTTTCTTCATTAGAGTAAAGTCTCTGAGATAACGAACTTAGAAGAGAGGTTCATTCAGACTCTCAGTGTAGGAGGTCATATTCAGATGACTACACTGTTTTGGGCCAGTGACAAGGCAGGGGCACACGATGAAGAAAAACTGCTCACCTCACAGCCAGGATGCAGAGAAAGGTGTGGATGTAGGCACCACAGTTCCCTTTGAGGGAACATCCCTAATGACCTGAGACCTCCCAGCAGGCTCTACCCCTCACAGGTCCCATCAACCCTGCTCCCCCTTAGGGCTAGGAATATGGTGGAACCTTTGTTTGGTATGCCTCAAGTCCTTGGTCCTGTCCTAAGTACCGTATAAACTGGGCATGATGGTGCTTGCCTCCAATCCCAGCACTCAGGAAGCAAAGGCAGTAGGAGGTTAAGGTCATCCTTGGCTACATAGTGAGTTCAAGGGCAGCTCGGACTACATTAGACCCTGGTCCCACAACCTTTCTATAGCACCACAGTCTGGGCACCCAGCCTCAGACACGTGGGTCTCCAGGCCTCATTTGCTTGAGCTATAGTGGCTTATCTCAAGGAGTTGTGTTCTCCCACTACAGTCACCTCTTCTAAGGAATGTCACTCTGCAGTGCAGCTGGCATGCCACCTTTCTCAGAGATCCACAGGAAAGGTGACAGGTCCCAAGCCATTTATGCTCTAGATCAGTGCTTCTCGAGACCTCCCTAATGCTGTGACCCCTTAGTACCGTTGTGGTGACCCCACCCCCCAACCATAAAATTATTTTGTTGCTACTTCATAACTGTAATCTTGCTACTGTTATGCATCACAATGTAAATATCTGAGATGCAGGATATCTGATTTGCAACCCCCGTGAAAAGGTCATTCTACAACCTCTCCCCCCCACACACACCAAGGGTCTCGGCCCACAGGTTGAGACACACTCCTCTCTAACAAAAGGCTTGGTTCATTGAGCGGGAACCACGGGCCGCACCGCCCCCTTCCCCGCCTCAGCCCCACCCCCCCCCCCCCCCCCCCGCCCCCGGCTTGGCAGGTGAGAAGATGTTCCAGATCGACAGCGGGAGGAACGCGCCTCTGCACTCCCCGCCCTCAGAGCACTACACCATCATCTTCAACACCTTCGTCATGATGCAGCTCTTCAACGAGATCAATGCCCGCAAGATCCACGGCGAGCGCAATGTCTTTGACGGAATCTTCCGGAACCCCATCTTCTGCACCATCGTTCTTGGCACTTTTGCCATCCAGGTACCCAGCCCCCACCTAACCTGGGCTGGGCAAGGCGGTGGCTCCCCAGCCCTCGTGCCATCTCCGTGTCTGTGTCCCTTCGATCTCTGACCTGCAGATAGTCATCGTGCAGTTTGGCGGGAAGCCCTTCAGCTGCTCCCCACTCCAGCTGGACCAGTGGATGTGGTGTATCTTCATCGGCCTGGGAGAGCTGGTCTGGGGCCAGGTGTGTGGCAGGGAAGGGGGCAGGAGGGGGTGTTGAAGCAAGGGAAGAAGAAAAACAACAGGATTGGTCCTGCTGTGACATGTGCCTGCTGTCCATATGAGGGAGGGCCGTACCCAACACTGGGCATCAGAGCAAAGGAGTCGGTCCAAGGCTCCAAATGCAGGCCACGTGGGTACCAACACTGATTTTGACCTTTTATCTGTTTCGCTGCTGCTGGTGTTTTCTTTTTTAAATCGCAGCAGTTTGTTTTAACTTAAATTTATGTCTAAAGGCAGTGCTGTTGTTATTATTATAAGCATGAGTTGCCAAAAGTAGAAGCTGATGAAAAATAATAATAATAATAATGTAAGGAGCATGATGCTCTTCAGAGACTTTCTAGGTGCTCGGGCCTGCCACAGCTCAGAACCTGAAGCCAACATGCTAAAAGGGCATCATCTAATGGTATCCTGAGGGTAGTGGCCTGCTGGCTCCAGGCCGGGACACATCCTGCCGCATTATAGTGCGACCTGAGGCAGGCCTGTAGCTATCTAAGGCTCTCCTAACTTGAAGATGCTCTCTGATGGCCACTCCATCTCTAACCCTAGCCCATTCTTCCACCTGCTTCATTCTCTCTATCTACCCAAGTCCTAGGCATATATGCACATGTGCATGCACATACAAATACACACACATACACACACACACACACACACACACACACACACACACACCATGACACACACTGTCACACATGGACACACACCATCACACTGCTGACAGTTTGAAATCTCAGTCTTCTGACTCAGGACACTACATGGAAGACATGCCTTTGTCCATAAGCCAAGCTAAAGGACTATTCCCCCAAGGTGCCCAGGCATCTAGGCAGGGCTGACTCGTCATAGGCCTGAGATGATTCTCTTCTTCAGCCTATTCCCAGGCTAGAGTAAGAAAGCACAGGGGTAAGCCAGGTATGGTGGCACATGTTTGTAATCCCAGCACTCAGGAGATTGAGGAGAGAGTACTGCAGGTTTGAAGGCGGTGTGGGCTACATATCCAGACCCTGTCACAAAGAGCAAAAGGAAGAGGAGGGGGTGGTACAAAGGCAACTGGGTATTGTGATTCATGCCTGTAATCCCAGCACTTCCAAGGCTTAAGCAGGAGGCTCACCGCTAGTTTGAGGCCAACCTGGATCACATAGTAAGACCCTGTTTCAAAACTCTAAAGAGAGACAGAGATTACCATGGGAATCACCTCCCAGCCCTTGGCTAGGATTAAGTGCAGAAACTGGGTTGGGAAATGTTAACTCAGAGATAAAGTTCAGATCCATCCAAATGGCCTTCGGCACCTCTTTGGAGCATTAAGAACTAAGTTTGAATTAGCACCCTTTCCCTCTTTTCTGGGCACCCCGGGGCCCACATCCTGAGGGGTCCCTCAGCATCCAGGGGAACAAACTCATGAGCATCCAGGTTGATAGTGTAACCAGCACTGACCCTGAACTCCCAGAGCGCCTGAGCGCCTGGTCCAGCCCCTGCCTGTCCTCACAGATGTAAGGGGCCTCTGATGCCCGACTGTCAGGCCTCGGCCTAGAAAACAAGCCCTTCGAGGAAGAACAAGAATGAGTGCATCCACATACATCCCGCCTTCAGGTCCAGGACTGGCCTCCCCAGTGCACTTGGCACCTGGTGCTCGCTGGCAGCCGTCCACAGAAGGCTCAGTACAGCATGTTCACAGTACCTGCCCAGGTCCTCACAACTCTAAGATGCCCTAGCCTTGTCAATAGAAGCCCAGAGCTCAGTGAGGGCACATGACTTGTCCTGGATCACATGACCAATAAGGCCCGGAATACTCCAAGTCACATTGGCCAATTCCTCAAGGCCAAGTTGTTCCACTCTGTCCTTTGTGTCCAATAAGTGGGTGTAGTAAAAAGGCCATCAATAAGAAACAACCAACAGTTGAGTTGGGGCAGATGGAAGGTTAAAGAGGGAACCTTTCATGTGACTAAGGAAAGAGGGCAGAAGAGGAGGGAGAGGGTCTCGGGCGGGGACTAGGAGAGTCCTCAGTCCTGACCTTTGCCTGGTGCATTATTGCAGGTCATCGCCACCATCCCTACCAGCAGGCTCAAGTTCCTGAAGGAGGCAGGGCGGCTCACACAGAAGGAGGAGATCCCTGAGGAGGAGTTGAATGAGGACGTAGAGGAGATCGACCATGCTGAGCGGGAGCTTCGCCGAGGCCAGATCCTGTGGTTCCGGGGCCTGAATCGGATCCAGACACAGGTACGGGTTGCTCCTAGGGCTGGGCCAGACTTGGGGGTGTGGCCTCACCCTCTAATGTGAGGGCAGGTGGCCATGGCAGCCTGGAGCGGGTCTCAGTGAATGCCCCCATGCCCATCATATGTTCTGAGGAGAGCACTCACTATTCCTCTTGCCACATGCTCACACACACTCACGTGCACGCTCACACACTCACTTGTGCTACAGAAGCAGAGTGTGGCCTTAGGAAGGCCATTGCCTTCTCATCCCAGCCGGGGGCGGGGGTGGCAAGAGTCTCACCCACCCTGGTTTTCCAGAGGAATCCCCGAAGAGGATGGGGGTGGCTATGAGGGCTGAGGTGAGTGGGGGTTCTACTGTGGCTAGGGTGGCTCTCAGGAGGGGCAGACAAAACTAGAGGGAAAACTGTCAGCCAAGGAGCTCCAGCCACCTTTACACATAATGCACATACCCTCTGCCTCCGTGGGGGTCTCCAAGCACTGCCCTTGATGTAGGTTCGGAACAAAGGTTAAAATCCCCATATGCCGAGGTGCGCGTGCAAGCCAAGCTTACTCATAAGGACATGTGCGCACAGCACCTGCCCAGCCAGAAGCAGGCTTCTTCCCCAGAACCGAAGTCATATGGCCACTATGTGGTACACGATGGAGCAGGAAGGGCACATCCCACGCTCTCCCAAAGACCCCATGCCTGGGGCAGGTGCAGTTTGAGTGTACTGTAGGAAACAGAGAAAGAGATCTCTTGCCCAGAAAGATACCTACAGAGCATTACCTCAGATACCTCACCCAAGCAATCTGGGCAAGTGACGCGTGGACCAACTCCTCCATTTCCATGAACCGCAGCAGACGGCTCCATTGGCGCCCCTCACGCCGCCCAGGAACTCATTTGACTCATATGGCCCCTGGGAGAAGGGTGTTCTGCCCACTTGGCACTTAGGGGAGTGGGTTTTGGACTCACAGCTGCCTCACACAGGCCTGGGCTCTCCTGCTGTGGCCAGGACCCTGGCAGCCCCTGTTGCCCATGAGGGCTGGGGTAGGTGGCACTGCCCCCACAGGTCTCACATCTCAGGAGGAAGAGGGAGGTGGTCCCCTGATGATTATAATCCTGGGTAGGTGGGGGTGACTCTGAGCCAGCCTTCTCTGAACAACTGTGGGGGACCCAGTTACTGCCACTCACATCGCCGCTAGATGGACAGCGTTGCCCTGCCTTAGGAAACAGAAACAGGACTTCCCCCGGGTTACCTAGCTAGTAAGTAAAGAAAGATAGACCTTGGCCCAAGATCTATCCTCCCCAAGGTCTCACTCACCGCATCACTCTGGCTCTGTGCCTGAGGCCACTCTCCCATTCTGATGTCACCTCCACCCCAGCCCCTGAGCCACTCTTGAGGAAAGAGCTCACACCTGCTCTCCCTACCTCCCACCCCCCGCCCCCGCTTGGGATCCCAAGACGGGCCCAGAGCTGAGCAGATACCTTTCCAAACCTTGGAGTGTGTCTAGTATTTTTTTTCTTTTTCGGTTTTGTTTTAAGTGGTGTTGTCCTCGTCGCCGTGGCTGCGGCTGTTATGTGATGTTGCGCCTGTCAGTTGTGTAGCTGTGGTGTTCGTTTCTTCTCGCAACTTGTCTCGTTCTCTCCTCCGTTGCAGATTGAAGTAGTCAATACTTTCAAGAGCGGGGCCTCCTTCCAGGGGGCCCTGCGGAGACAGTCCTCCGTCACCAGCCAGACCCAGGATGTAGCCAGTCTCTCTAGCCCTAGTCGCGTGTCGTTATCCAATGCTCTTTCCTCTCCGACCAGCCTTCCTCCTGCTGCAGCTGGGCGTGAGTGTGACTCCTTCCCGCCTCCGCTGGCACCACCAACGCCAGCTCCTGGGCGGGCAGGCGGGCAGGGGCCGGGGTTCCAGAGAACATGGGGGGACAGGGGTCACTGTGAGGCCCAGGGGCTGAAGGGCCACAGCCACTGAAGACAGCATCATTGGTCAAGGGTCCTCAGGCAGTCTTGGGGTTAGCTGGGGGTCAGGGATTGTAAATAGCAGGGGGTCATTGGAATTATAAGCATTCAACAGGTCTGATTCCATCAAAGAGTCATACCATAGTCAAAAAGGTTCTAGAATCCAAGGAGTCCCAGTCCTCCTCAGCACCTGAGGCCAGAGTGAGGCTGTCACCAAGACAGGCACAGAGCGGCCCACATTCTAGTCTCTTGCCTTGTCAGGAAGAGCTTGGCCCACAAGGGAAAGGGTCAGAGTTTGATGACTAAGGCCTTGCAGTTAGTCAAAGGGTTAATGTGGGTCAAAGTGTAGAAGCCTCTCAGGGGTCACAGTCACAATGGGGGCTCAACACAAGAGGGACCATATGAGCCAGGCAGTCACTGCAGATCAGATGTCACAGCCAGGAATGGAAGAGCACCAAAGAAACCACAGCACTTCATGATCGGCCACGCCCCTCCCTTGGACACTGAGCAGCTGCCTTGCAAGCCCTTTTCCCACAGAGGGTGGAGCATGCTGAAGTCCCGACTCCTTTCCCGCAAGAGACAAGGCTCCCATTCCATCCAAGCTGATCTCAAGTAGATAACAGTGGGGCATACACATCTTGCCTGTGTGCCAGCTAGTCCCAAAAAAGATGCTCTAACCTGATGCCCTTCTCTTATCTGAGGGGGAGCCTGGAACTCTGACCACCTCTTCATCTTCATCTTCCTTCTGCCAGTTACTTTGGGTTTTGTGGGTTTTTGTTTTTTTTTTTTTTTTTTTTTTTGGTCTTTTTAGTATTTTGTCTCCCCTCCCTTTCCCCTCCCCCTCGCAAGAGCTGAGGACCAAAACTAGGGCCTTGCACTTGCTAGGCAAGCACTCTACCACTGAGCTAAATCCCCAATCCCTTATCTTCCTTCTTTCAAGCACATCTGCCCATATCACTGCCTCTAACCTAGAGCTCTAGGTCTCTGGTTCTGTCTAGCTCTTTGCTGGACCTCTCATGGCCTCGGAAGCCAAAAGATTCCATCTCTACTTCCTATCTGCCTCATTCAAACCTTCCCAAAGTACATGGAGCCTCGGTCCTAGCCTTTTAACACAGAGACCTATGTGTGGTACCCCAGCCAGCCTTCAAGTTCTTTGATGAGAAACAGACTCCATCTCTTGATGCATTGTAACGTGGCCCCTACCCACTTCCCAAAGCAGGACACCCAGCATCACACCTCCTCGCCCCTGAGCGGGAGGATCTACATACAGGTTTGGGGTTCTTCCATTGGGACCCTCCAGCAGGATGCACAGATCGCTAGGAGCCCATTGATAGCCTATGCTGGTTTCCCATGACCATACCATGGGTGCTGCCCTCCCTGGTATATAGAATGACAAGGAGGCCCAATGGTGTTCTCCCATTGGCACAAAATGAGCCCAGATGAGGCAGAGGTACACCTGAGCAGATGTTGTCTGAGTCTCTGAGAAACCATGGCCAGGTTTTCCCTTCAGAGAAAATGCCCCACCCCTCTAGCCTTTGTGAGTGACCCATGCTCAGCTGGCTTTTCCTTCTTCCCTGTCCCATCCATCCAACTCTCACCTTGCCTGGCACCTTCCATCTTGAAGTGCAGTCACCAGTGGTTGCCATGGAGATAGCCTTGTTGGTGATGTGTGTGTCAGCCTGAGTTCTGACCTCTAGGAGTCTGGCTCCAGGGCACAAGCTCAATTCTTTATTCAAGCTGGTTCACCTCTTTCATGTGGCATTCCCAAGCACCCACGTATCCTCTAACGTCGTCCTCAAGTCAGCCCCTCAGCTTTGCACTCACATTCTAGAACAAAAAGCTGTCCTCTCTTCTCTCAGCAGCTTCTTTCTTGCTCTTCTGTCTGCATCACTATGGAGCCATCAAGGAGGTGGTCCCTAACACACTTCTACAGACAAGCCCATGTGCCCACTCTCCTGTCTCCAAGCAGACCAATCCCTCCTTCATTCCATGTAACCCTAACTTTGGAGCAGTCATAGGAAAAAAAGCCTAGCTGGGGTGGTACCAAAACTCATCTACCATCTTGACCCATGATCCTTCATTCCCTCTCCGGGCTGAGAGAGGTTGGACAAGCTTAACTCTCTCATCCATCCTCTGCTGAGCCACCTCCTCTCCCTCCTTAACAATCTCCCATTTGAACCCCCTGCTCTAAACTCCAGCTTGTAATTCTTAGTCTCTTTGGGCCCTCTGCTGGGTATGAGGTTTCAAAAAGAACCTGACCATTCCTCTGCCAAGCCCACTGCCTCCTAGGAAGACTGCCACCTGTGTGGCTTAAAGAGGTATTTAATCACCAAGTCACAATTCAGCTATCAAATAGACATCCTCTCATCACCTGCATATGTAGTTTCTGTCTTCTACTCTCTGGGACCCTGAGGATCCTTTAAATATCAGGCAAGGTCCCTTTAGAGGTCAAAGTACTTTCTTCTACATGCGCCTTTAATCCAGTGCCTGGGAAGCAGAAGCAGGCATATTTCTGTGAGTCTGAAGCCAGCCTCAAGTTCCAGGTCTACACAGAGAAACCCTGTCTTGGAAAAGAAGAAAAAAAGCTTTCTTTCCATAGGAAGGTCTGATAGGCAGGCAGAAAGCAGAAGGGTGGGTGGAACTGGGCCACCAGACTCTCTGCAGGATCTCCCCAGCAGAGGACTGGTCACATACCTGCTGAGGCAAATGCCTGGAGTCTGTGTTCCCCCAGAAGGAATAATCTCTTTCCTTCGTGTCATTAGGAGTTGATCACAAAGGGGCAAGATAGGGAAGTTTCTGTCGGGGAACCCATTGTGCACCCCTCCACAGCACAGCTGTTAGATGGCCCCAGGCAGACAGTATGTGTGGGGAGATATGGTCAGTTGGGATGGGACCAGAGCACTCAGGAGAGAGCCCAGGGCAGCTGCAAGCTTTTCTCATCTTATCTCAAAACCGAATTTGATTTTCTACCCAGAGGTTCAAGGACACACCACTAATGCCTTGTACTTGAGCCCTACACAACAGTTCTACTTCCTTTACCTCACATACATCTCACCATGAGGAGGGGAGGGTTGCCCAGGGTAGCCAGAGACACCACTTGGCCAAGACCACACAGCAAGAGAAACAATAGTACTGTGGCCTGGAGCCCCACATGCTCCGCTCTACCCCACTCTCTAGGCAGGCTTGACCTGATAGCACAGAGGACGGCATTAGCTCTAGGAGCCAATGCTGGTGCCCACGGACTTCCAGAGGAGAAGGAGCACCCCTTCCATCATCCTAGGGGTGGAGAGTAGGGAGGGTACACCCACTAGTGTTCCTCTAGCCCACAGAGGCATAGAGGCAACCTCCACCGGTCAACCAGGACACCAGGCTATTCATCCAGGCCAAACTCCTCTTCTCATCCTCCCTGCGTTCCTCACTTGTCTGAGGAGGCTCCACAATGAACATTGCTTCAATCCCACTACACAGACAGACAGACAGACAGACACACACACACACACACACACACACACACACAGCCCCAAGAACCCACATGTCTCCTTTAGACTTAGGTTTCAAGAACTGCCAGTATGTGCGGCATTTGTGGTGAGGAGCAAAGCAGGCAGTGGCAAAGAGGAAAGCTGGGTATTTCCTTAGCATTCTGGTAACTGAATTGGTGCAAGCTTGGGTTGGAAGGAAGTGGCTTGCTGCTGGGGGGACCCTGGAGCTCTCCGACTGTCTGAATATTCCATGTCTTTGTTTCCTAGAGGGCTAGAGAACCCTGGACACAGAGTTCAGCAAGAGAGAGTGAAATTAAAAGAGGTTGTGAGTCTTTACCCTTGAGCCTGAAATGAATGTGACTCAATCCCAGACTCTTGGCTTCCTTGAAGCCGGGTAAACATTCGAGTATGTGGAGCCCACCTCAGAGCAAGGCTTCGGCCTCCCCAGACACCCAGTGGCCCAGAACTGTAGGTCCCTCAGGCTGTTGAAAGCAAATATCCACAGTCCTACCCACTGGCCCTGCCTTGTTCCCTGCCCCATACTCCTAAGAGTCTTCTGTCCTGAAACTTATCTTTAGAGCAGGCAGGCAGAGGAAATGAAAGAGATTTTTGCTTTTGCTTTTATTTTTTTTTCTTCCCCTATTTTTTTTTCCATTTCAGCTGCAGAGAGAATCGAAGTGGAGTCTTGAGATGGCCATGGCGGGGTGTCCCGAAAAGTCTTGTCCCCACAGTCCTGTCCAGAGCAGTTCATTCTTTCTGTTGTCTCCATGCCAGGGGGAGGGTGGAGGGGCTTCATCTCATTTGTGTGTCATCCCCTCTGCGTTGTCAGTCATATGACAAGGGCCTACCACTAGCCCCTAACTTCCTTCATATGCTAGGCATTCCAGCCAGCCAGTGTCTTATGGCAAGCGAGCCTCAGAAGGCTGGGCGCCAGCTGTGCAGATAGAGGGATGGGACATATGCACTCCCACTTTGCAGATGAGGAGGCCAGCAGCTAGGTCTTGCCTAGTGTTTGCTGAGTGTTTGCCTAGCACGCAGAAGGCCCTGGGTTAGATCCCTAGTCCCAGCCTGGGTTATATGAGACCTTCCCTTAACGCAAGCAAACAACAAATACAGAAAAGATGAGCAAACTAAGGCAATACCTTTTCTTATTATTATTATTTCCAGGGGTTCGACAGCCCATTTACGAGATCAGAAAATGAACAGTCTTACAGAAGCTACAAAGGGAATCCCTAGACAAAGACAGTTGAGAGGGCCACAGAACAGCAGTACTCAGTCTGCCTGGCTCCACTTGACAGCTTGCCTGGGTTCCAGCAAGCAGAGTTCTCCGGGGTCACTAGTTATAGGGAGGAGGAGGAACAGAGTGTTTTTCAGAAGGCAAGCAGAAGTTGTAGCTAAGAGAAGGCTGGTGGCAAAGGAGGAGAGTTGACTGGAGTGGGGGGAGGAGAAGAGCCAGACAGCACAGTCCAAGCAGAGCAACTATCAGTGCCAAGCTGAGTTCTCAATTCTGCAGTCCGACTTAGCTCAGAAACAGAAAACCATCTCTCAGCTGTGACACAGACTCAGCAGTCAGAGCCATCTAGAAGTTTCTCCTGGAAACAGGGATCTCCCTAACCATGGTCCACAAAGAAGCTCCCTGGTTTAGCAAAACTTTAATCTGGGAGTCCAAGGACCTCTCCACAACTGTCTCTGTCAGGCTTCCTGCCCCCATGGCCAAGGCCATGTGACCCTCAGCTGTTGGTGGCATCTGGCCATCTTGTGTTTACTCTTTTGCCCTGCTCTGAGCCAGCACTGGGGAGAGAGCAAGAGACATCTTTATTCCAAGTCCCATCGGTCCCTTAAGACCCAAGGCACGTTCCTGTCCCCCTGCACCCTGTAAGGCAGTTTAGAACACGACCAGTTAGATGGTATAGCTCTCTACAGCCAAGACATGATGAATGTCTCAGCCAAGACTTCAACCTGGCCCTTTTCCAAATCCAGAGCTCTTTGCACCCATCTTGGAAACCGGAGGCCAGGCTCCTCCCATTCTTCAGAGGAGAGAATAAAAGGCCTAGGGAACCGAAGTTCCTGGCTTACTCACCATGATGCAGCACCAAACCCTGGATACCCTACCCCACATCCCAAAACCCACAGGGGATCTGGGAGCTGGCTATCCACTTCTGGACTTTTTTCTTTTTTTTTTTCTCTCTTTTTGGTCCTTTCTTCTTTTGAGCTTGTGTTTTCAGAACACAAACAGCCATAACCCCCGAACTGCAGGAAACAAGGGTGCCCCTTAGCAAGCTACAATGGCTGGCCAGGGCTTTGAGCCCATACTCGAGTGTTTACCTCCCAAATGCATGAAGGAAAGAGGCGCTGGGCACAGACAACTTTGTTCACATTGTGCAGGCTTCCAAGTGTAGCTGTGTGTCAGTGTGTGTGCGCGTGGCCCCTGACCCCTGACCCCTGTGGCATGCCCCCTGCCCCCAACGTTCTGTGTGCTGCTCCTCTGTGCTTCCCGGCTGCTGCAGCCCTGCACCTCAGAAAGCCTTCCCTGGCTTCGCTTTGCTCTGCTGCCTCGGCTTGATGTCCCCCTTCTCTGTTTGGCCCTCGTGTGTCCTCTCATCCCACCTCATCCAACTGTCTCTCCTTCCTGTTCCTTCTCTGTGTGACCTGTAACCTGTTCCATGTGGTTTGGTTTCTTAACTGTGTGTGGTTTTTTTAAAGATTCACTTTTTTTTAACGAATAGACTCTTTCCTACTTCCCCCTAAGCCTCAACCCCTTTGCATGGTCAAACTCTGCTGTGACATTAACAAGGCTCTGTCTCTCAGTAGGTCGGGTGCCCTTCGGAGTGGACCATGCTCCGGTTTCCAACTGCCCAAGCATCTCTGTGTTGGTGCTTTACTGACCCCACTAATACCATAGTTCTGACCCAAACCAAAGCCACTTAAAAACCAACTCATGGATGCATTCCCCCAAGCCCTCTGCCATCCGTCCCCATCGATGCTCATAAATACCAGCGACTGTGGATCCCAGCAGCCTGCGTGCCCTCCCCACCCCCAGCCCTCCTCCCAAGTCCCCGGGAGAAGCCAGCCCACTCCTGACCAATGTGTTTCCCTTGCAGATCCGCGTCGTGAAGGCGTTCCGTAGCTCTCTCTATGAAGGGTTAGAAAAACCCGAGTCTCGAACCTCCATCCATAACTTCATGGCTCATCCTGAATTCCGGATCGAAGATTCCCAGCCCCACATCCCCCTCATCGATGACACCGACCTGGAAGAAGATGCCGCGCTCAAGCAGAACTCGAGCCCGCCGTCCTCGCTCAACAAGAACAATAGCGCCATCGACAGCGGGATCAACCTGACGACCGACACGAGCAAATCAGCTACCTCTTCAAGTCCAGGGAGCCCCATCCACAGCCTGGAGACGTCGCTTTAGCTGAGGCCCCTGTCGCCTGGCCATCCTCATGGACCCGCCGCCACCCGCCTCCGGGCGCACATTCTTCCAGGCACCAACTCCCCGACGCAGCAAGGAGCACTGGGCGGAGCCCACACAGCAGAGAGAGAACCCATTTCCACACACAGACCCTTTCTCTGGCTGCCATGCTGTTTGAACTCTTTTTCACTCCTAGGCCATGGGCGGGGTTGCCCTGGGGTCATCTGGAGCAGAGAGTGGCGTGGATTTTTTTTTCCAATAAATAATAAATTAATTTAAAAAAAAAAGAGCCCTTCCAGGCTCCAGGCCAGACACGGACCAGCCATGCACCCGCCGGCCACTGCGTCCCCAGCATGAATGTACCTGGACACTTTTAATCCCCTCCTTCATTTGGTTCTTGAAGGGTTGGGGAGGAGAGATTTTTGTTTTCTTAGGCGGGAACTGCAAACAGGAACTGCGAACAGACTGCTGCTGTTCATTCAGTCCACTGGTCTATGAGGTTTCAAATGCTTGTCCAGCATGGTCTCAGATGTCTAGATTAATTTAATAACTTTTTGAAATCACAGAGTAGATTTGCACCAATGGAACCCAAGAACTCCACAGACACTCATGAGGTTATATCCGTTTCTTTGTATCTATATCAACGTATACTTCTTGGAGACTGTATACGTGCATATAGATAGGTAGATATTATATATATATATATATATATATATATATAACATATATATACATGGATATATAAAGTTCCTTTGCCGGCATGTTGCCTTGTTTCTGCTTAAATTGCTCTATTTTAACTTATGTCCTAAAAAGAAGAATGTAATTTGTTTACAAACCTGTAGATAATGTCTTTGGCTTTTTGTGTGGTTTAAGGACACTGGTGGCCAAGATGCTTATGAACAGCTCGGCCCAACAGACACATCCCCTGGATTGCATCCTTGACGTTTTACGATAGCCATGCTCTGATTTTTGCCTGCTATTTCCGTTCAATAACGTCACTACTGTGGGAAGCTCAGGCAGAAAGCCAACGGCTCCCAAGGATCCATCCTGAGGAGCTAAGCAACGTGCTCCACCGTAGACAAGGGAGAAGAGGAGAGAAGGCTTCCCGGGTTTGCAACAAGAGTGACTGTCCAGGTCCCATGACATTGTAGTGCACCGGTAGAGGGCTTTTCTCTCAATGAAACTCACTTGAGTTTACAGAGAGCATTTCAGAACTGAGTTGTCTTTGGCACTGTCTGTGAGTCAAGGTAGTGTTCAGATATTACAAATGCTATTGTGTTGATTTTTTTTTTTTTTTTTTAGTTAGTAATTTAGAAGTTTCTTTCCTTATAAACGGCAGCATAGGCACTGCCATCATGCTGGATGAGGGTCGGTATGGCTTGCTGCTTTCGTTTTTCTTTTTAAAGAAGAATAGCCTTTTTTCTCTGCACTATTTAGATCCGAATGAACCTTATGATGTGTACATTGAGATGTATTCAGTGTGATTTCTAAACCAAATTGTCTTCCTGTAGTCACAATATATACCGTAGCCTTTTGACACTAAGCCCTGCTTTCCCAGACAGAAAGCCATTCTGATATCTTCCCATATCACAGGTGAGAAAAGGTGGCTATCCCCTCCCCCAACAATAACAGCACTAGTAATCCCACTTAATAAGAGCTTGTCTGTCAGCCTCTGAACTGCTAAGCACTTTGTGGGTCTCAGCTTTTTTTCATAAGAGAACTTTTGTATTTAATACAAAGTTTGCTTTGAGACTTTTCAGCATACAATCTTTTTCCATAAACTTGTACAGTGCAAAAGACATTTTGAATACCATGATCGATGATGTCCCATGCTTCGAGGAAAACCAAACACTTTCCGCCTCACTTGTGAACTCCATCCTTCACTCCCACCCTTTCCACAATCGTTCCTCGCTCCTCAGCCTGGCCCCCAGCCCTCCTCCAAGCCCAGAGACCTTTTCACTAAACAAGATGACAGCCACTTGGGAAAAGAGCCATAGTCAGCTGGGAGGGCCCACGTCTGGATGGCTGTGGAAAAAACTTGAGTTTTGGTTTGGGGTTCAAAGTCTGCCCATCCCACCTGGCCACAATCTTTCTGTAAGGAAGAATATCTCGAAGGATTCTGAATGTATCCAGGAGAGAGAGCTGCCTCTCCAGTAGTGGCGGACCAGCCCTAGATGTGCTCACTGGAGCCCTGTACAGACACCACCAGAGCCAGCCCACAGCACCCCTCCAAGAAAGGAAAGGAAATCTGGGGCAGCCTTGCAACAGGATAGGTTTTTGGTTTGGGGATTTTTTTGTTGTTGGTTAGTTTTGGGGGTTTTTATGGGGGGGTTCATTTGTCACACTTTTCATCTTGCCCTTCTTCATTCAATCATGCATCTATGGCCTCATTCCATGCCACCAGGGTTGTTGTACTTACAAGCCAGGGTCCTTGGGCTTTGGAACCAGGCCTCAGGGGCAAGCAGAAAGGGGTTCTCTGAGCAAAGCCAGCTTCTCAGGCAAGGAGCAGAAGAAACTAGAAAGGAGGCCTGCCATTAGCATTGGTTTCCCAGTGTCAGGAATGAGAGCTAGTCTATGCCCCACCCCCTCATCCTCGCACACCCACACTCCTCCGTACATGCACATACCTACACAGGAGATAGTTGGTTTGTCAAAACTCACTGTAGTACACAAAGCTTGCACTTCCGCGTCCTATATCTAGCAGCATGGGGTACGTTTGGCAGTTTACCCCATTAGGGGGTCAATAATTTATGACCATTCATCTGTTTTTATGAATTTTTTTATCTAGACAATAATTGTAAATAAAAGATTCACCGTCTCTGCTCATTTAATACTATGCAATGGTTATGCTTTCCATGGCTGACTCTTCTCACACAGGTGTTTCTGGTGTGTCTATGGAATTTAAAAAAAAAAAAAAAAAACAAGCCGAACATAGGCAGACTCTTTTCTAATGTGGGACCTGCCCCCTTTGTTCCTGTCCTCTGCGCTCTGTAAATGCATCAACTCCCCAACTCCTCAGATAGGTGAGGGACGACAGGTGAGCACCCAGCAAGGAATCTGCACTTTGGATCTAGGTGCTTCAGTCACCTAACTGTGCAGAAGGGGAGGAAGGCTCAACTTGCTGCTCACAGCTTTCCTGGATTCAGGAGCATCCTCCATTTCTCCACCCACCCCTCATTCCTATCCTCATCCCAACCACAGCTCAGAGCTGACTGGAAGGAGGTGTCCTACTTCTGAGAGTAGATGCAACTGGCTGCTCCCAAGCCAGAGTTCAACCTATCCTGGGTCCTCTGGTTAATAAAAATAACCCACTGTATCCCCAAGCCTGTTGAAAAGGCACCTTTGCCACCTCCTGATTTCTCACATAGACTTAAGTCCAAATCTAGAATTTCTCTTTTGTTCCCTTATCTGGCGCCAGCCACATGTTTTCATTATTGTCCCTCTCAAGTATGTTAGTATGCAGCGGGAGGGTGAAGGCCCCTCTCTGTTCACAATACTTCCCCTCACATCTGTTCTTCTGAAGAAATGTTAACATTTTGCCAGATCTTCTGTTCTCCTCTCGCCCTAGACTCTAGGCCCTGTCACTGTAACATGCTGCCCCACATCCACTATAATCACTGTATATTCAGAACTCTATGTGCAGAATTTCCTGTCAGGACAGACGAAAAAACAAAACATCCTGAATTCTGGGAAGCTAGCAACTTATTTGTCCCCTAAGCCCTGGAATTTCAGGAAAGGCCACCAAGCCCTACCCAACAAGTCATCTCCTGTGGTTGTGCCAGAGCAGGTCCCCATATGCCCATTGTCTAGATGGGTAAAAAAGACCTCTTCCAGACCCAGTACTTGGAGGGAACATTCAGCCCCATCAGAACTATTTTGCAGAGGGACACTTCCTGTCTGCCTTTTCTAAACTGGATTTTGGTTATTTGGGGTGGGTTATTGGATGTTATCTCTTATTCAGAGTCTTAGCACCTTTGGAATACAAAAAAAAAAAAAAATGCCTTGCCTGGATGTCTTGGCACCCTTGCTATAGCTTTAGGAGGCTGCCAACTGAACCACACACTGACAAGCCTTCCACCCAACTCTCTCCCACTCTAGTATCTGAAGCCCCACCCTTGGAGAACCCAGAAGTGAGGACACTTCTTGAAACACCAATGCCCCAATCAGACCCTAAGAGTCCCCAAGTATTTTCCAAGTTCCAAATGGAGCCCTTCGGTTTAATATAGAGATCCGACCCACCCAAGGCATTGGACCCCAGGCCCTGGGTAGCTGCCATCAGACCCTCCTCCCAAAACAAAAGGTTTGAGGCTACTTGGGCCCTTCCAGGCCCTTGGTCTGTTTTGTAATGTCTGTGGTGCTCTCCCTCCAGGGCCCTTCCTCTCGGGGGTCATCACACTTTGCTAACTCTTGTGTGCACATCTTTTATAACAGAGTAGCGAGGGAATGGTGCCGCCTCCAGCTTCCATAAGCTGCCTGGGCCCTGGGGGGCTCTGGGACAATCGGGGCTGGGAAGTGACTGTGCTCTTATTGTACACTCTTTATTTCTCTGTATCTCTGGCTTGTGCTCTTTGTAACTAATGGGATTTGTCAGCCTTTTCAACACTATACTAAGCAATAACAATAAATGCACACGTGGAAATGCAGGCATGATAACCATCCCAAGGCCTTTTTCCGAAGGACAGCTGGGTCCCCACTCTCTATGGATCTGAACTCGGGAACGTTGAGTCTCTGGTTGGGAAAGACACGTTGCTCTAGATCATACTTTTGAGCTCCCACCACCTGAGGGACCTTCCATGAGTCATTAACCCATCTCAGAGAGAAGGCTTGGGAGGAAGGGTCTCAGGAATGAAAGAGTTACTCACATGCAAAGTGGTAGGAGGGAGAGAGGAAGCAACTGGAGGAAACCATGAGTGGCCTGACTATGGTCTGAAATAAATTGTAAAAGGTGGAAAAACGTAGATACAGATTATAGGTGGCATCCCTTACAGAAGAGGAGGAAAGCAAAAAGGAACCTGGTACCCTAGTGTTTTAGTTTGCATTCTATTGCTGTGAGAAAACACAATGGCCAAAAGAAACTTGAGGATAAAAGGATGCATTTGGCTTGTATATCCTAATCATAGTCCATCACTGAAGGAAGTCAAGGCAGGAACTCAAGCAGGGAAGAAACTGGAGACAGGAACTAAAGCAGAGGATATGGCTTGTTCCTCATGACCTGATTTTTTTATACTGCCCACAACCACCTACCTTGGGCTGTAACCAGTCACAGTGATCTGGACCTTTCCACATCCGTCATTAATCAAGAAAATATCCCAACAGATTTGTCTATGGCTCAACTGCACCGATGCAACTACTCGGTGAAATTCCTTTTTCTCAGATAACCCTGACTTGTGTCAAGTCAGAAAAAAAAAAACACTAAACTAACCAGGACATCTAATAATTTGAATCTGGCAAACCTCTCACGAAAAAGGAAATATGCTAGACTGAGGGAAAAAAAAACAACTTCAAGTTATAGACACAAAATCCCAGCTCTTCACAAGTTGAATGGTGAGATCAAGTGTCACTGGCTCCAACTAACTTCCAAACATGGTTTCAGTTCCAAGGTTCACTTAAACCAAATATTAATTTTCAGGCTTTGTATTACAGGTGAGCATCCTGAATCACAGTGCCGATGTGATACCACACCACCAAACTTTGCTTGGGGCACAAAATTATTAAGAATATATAAATTCCAACTATGTGTGTATATAGAACATGTGAACCTTGTAATCAGACTTGGATCCTATCCCAGAATATCTCACGAATATGCAAATGTTCACTAAACCAAAATTAAACACTGCTGGTCTCAAGTATTTCAGGTAAGAGATTCTTCACCTGTGCTGTGCTTCTCACTTAACAGAGAAGGAGCCACTCAAAGCGGCAAAGAATGAGTCCTCAGAAGCAGGTTCTAGTAACTTTCCATCTTCAGCCAGAGTCAGCACTCTAAAGCTTCAGGGCACCGTGCCTTTCAGTCGATCTGCAAATAAGTCGTTGCTTACCCAGACCCTCAATGTCTTCAGCTTCGGGATTCACACCAGGAAATTCCCCTTAATAACAATGACACCTCATACAATATATTTACATGTAAGATGCCTGTTGTCACCATTTTTTCACTGGAGAAAAGTAAAGCTCAGAGAAAAGGAACTTGACCCTAACAGTTGAAGGATTCGTGGTGCATCTACAGAGGGGCCTGTGCCTTGAAGAATAAAACGCCAAGGAGCCTCTTCAAGTCTGTTTTACCCTAAGTAACACCTCTTCACATCCCTGCAATACTTCTCCATTGGAGGAAAAATAGTTTTTAAAAAGTGCTGCGGTGAGATGGATGGGGGAGGGGTGTTTGATATAAGGCTGCCACTCTCCTGGCACTTCTCCCAAACTCCTTCACACGGAGTTTTGGTAGCTATATCCAGCCAAGATTTTTAATCCCAGTTTCAACATAGGACCAGAAAGAATTTTCACTCAGCTGGTGATGGAGTGCAGGTTCCGTTCTGGGCCACTTGGCTTCTAAGTGTCTGAAGTGGGTGGGAGGATGGAACCATGTGAATCTGAGGAGCTTCTGCAGCTTGGCATTCCCCATTATAGTGCTTTTGCGGAAAACCAAAAGCCAGGGGAAAGGGGTCGGGGTCTCCAGTTGCCCTCCCTTGGAACAGTCAATTCCCATGTATTAGAGACTCTGGCTTGCCCTTAAGAAAGTTGGTAGGTACACTATCAATTGGAGACACTGGTCTCTCGACAGGACTTCCAGGATCCCAGGGGATCCCTCTGGAAGTCTGGGCTCTCTGAAGACATCGGCCCTATATATATAGCAGGGCCGTCCTGCCGACGACCTAACAAAGCACTACCCCAGTGCACTAACGAAATTAACCTCTACAATGTTCATGATATACCAGCGGGACCCAGAACCCGCAGAAAAGAAGGGCGAAGCTGTTATCAGTAGTCATTTTACGTATGCACCTCACGAACGAGAAAAGATTGATCTAGATAGAAAACCCGCTAGTGACGGGTTCAGCTCATTAAAAGCTACAGCAACCAGAGCCCCACCGTTCGCCAAGATAAGGGCGAAAACGCGAGAGGGCGGGGCAAGGGTCCCAGAAGACGCGGAACCTTTGTGTGAGTCGAGTGTGTTGCTGACCGGAAGCTACTGGGTGAAGGTCTGCCGGCTGCGGGCCGGCGCCGGAAGTGAAGCGTTCTGGGCTGCCACGTCCGAGGCCGTGAGTCGCCACTGCTGCAGTTATGGTGAGTGTTGCGTTCCCGGTGATAGTCGTGGCCTTCGGCCATCCACCTCCACCTCCTCAAGGTTTGCGTGTCCTGCTTTTGTGGGTCTCGGAGCGGGAGATTATGGCAAGGCCGCTGGGCCCTCCGGAATTCAGAGGCCCGGACTGCTGAGCCACCTCCTGCCCTTGTGTCTTGTCCTCCGTAATTGGAAAAAACAAAACAAAACAAAAAACCCACGAACAAACAAAAAACCTAAAGCTATCGTAGGAGCTGCTGTCAAATTAGAACTTAATACGTTCCCACTACCACTTGCATCCCCTGCCTGCGCATAGACTGCTGTCATCAACACTGCGTTGGGCAGTGGCAAGCGAAGATCCAAATCGTAATCAACCTAATCACCTACTACCTCAGCAAAAGTGGTGGGGGCGGGGGGAATCAGTTGTTTGGACACAGGGTTCCCAGGTGTGATAGGCCCTTCAGGAAACTGATGGGAGGCCTAGCTGAATGGCTCCAGGGATCGTCTCGGCTTTTATTATTATTATTGAATACCATGGTATCTGTGGTGTATCTTCTATGGTGCCTGAGTCACTGAGTGAATGAATGAGAACCAGCTTCTGGAAGTCTTAGACCCTGTTTGGCACAGCAGTGCAAGGAGCTGCCTCCCTCTTCTGTTGGCCGTTGGTTCTGTTGCTGAGTTAAAGACTCACACTGGTTCATTGTAAATTTGTAACCGGTGTGATTCTAGTGAGCTGAATTGTTTTGAGTATTGTTTCTTACTGTATTCCAGTAACCACTTAAGTGTCAAGAGACTTGTTCCAAGAGCTTTAAAACACATAGCATCCCAAAGTGTGGGTCACAATCCATGGCTGCTGGTTGAGAATGGTCAGAAAGATATGTCAGCTCTCAAAGGTCCTTCAGATCACCAATATCAAATTACTTTTCCCTCAGCCAGCCTGGATTGTGGGGACTCTTGAGCACCACCAAGTTTATATTGGTGTGGTGGGGGTAGGGTAATCTGCTATCATGGACTGTGGGCTAAATATTAGAGGGTTAGTAACTAGGTTTATTGCCAGCAGTATGGTTTTGGTTTTCTCTCTCCTGGCTCCTTAAGTTGCCAGCTTTTTTCTGTTGGCTATAATTAATTGGACTTGGTACCTCTCAGTGCTCATGGGAAAATGTCAATGTCTGCAGACGGTTCAATTCCTCTTCTTCTAATCTTTGCAGACCCTTAAGCCTACTCTTTAGAACACTTAGAATTCTCACGAAAACCTTTACTTAACTCAGTGTGTGCCTTCTGAATGCCTTGCTTCCATACTCTCCTAGGGCCTACCTTTCTGAAAAGTAGCCCAGGCTAGCCTAGAATTCTTGATCCACCCTCCCAAGCTTCCAGAGTGTTAAGGACCTGCACCACCACAGTCCTAATCTTGAATTATAACCTGTTCCACATACACTTTCTGGGCCATCAGAACCTCTGTGATGCAGAAAGGGAATGAACTCTGCTCCTGCATGCTTCCACCTCGTCTTTGGGAGCTGCCTGGCCTACCTCCGGGCTCGCTGACCTCAAGTTCTCACACTGTCTTTGCCTGTGGAATCCTTTTCTGCTTGGATTATGTATTCTCCCTCAACAACAAAGTAAGGCAGCTGTGTAGCCCCCTCATCTTGGGCTCCTCCTGCCCACACAAACAACAGTATGGCTGAGCTGGCTACTGGCAGGTTGTTTAAACATGAGCTTCTCTGAGGCAAGAACTGCCATTGTACTTCACACTGTGAGTCCTTCACACAGTGCTCAAAGAGGTTTTTAGCTGGAAGTAAAAATGCACATATATCCTGGCATGTGGGAGGCTTAGGCAGAAGGATACTGAGTTCAAGGCCAGCCTGAACTACATAATGAGAGCCAATTTCGTGGAAAATGAAAAGAGTTTATAGAATGAGCATGTCAGTGAATGAATGAGAGAAGGAATGCCCCTAAGAACTTAAGGAGTTAACTTACACAGTAGTTGTGTTGATTTACACAACGGTAGTTGTGGCTACTGTCTGTGAATTCACAGGATGTCTTTGTTCTAGGTGTCAGTAATTAATACCGTGGACACCTCTCATGAGGACATGATTGTAAGTATCCATTCAGCCCTTCTTCTAAACCTTGACATGAGTATTCTGTTCTGTGGGAGTTTGGACTGTGTCTTAGTTCCCAGCAGGCCATAGCCTCCAGAGTTTAATCTTTTCTCCTGTGTGACCTCTGAGTTGGCAGGGTTTTGACAGTGGCTTGTCTTTGCCATGAGAACCTGGTTCTTCTGTGCAGCTCAGGCCCTTCAGTCTTCAGCCAGCACCAAACCCTACTCTGAGAGTAAGGCTGTAAAGGTTTGACAGTCATCTTCCCACCCGTCTTACACTGAGAGTTATTGAGCATGATTAGGGAGTCTGGCAACCACAGTGAAAGCCTAGGGCAGAGGTTGATAAACTTCCACCCAAGAGACTAGGCCATACCAAGCCTTTGTGCCGCAAGTCATTCCCTGGGGCGTTTCTTGAGAGGCCAACACAGGGCACAGTGTAGAGCTGTTGGGGAAGGTGCAGAGGTTGAAGTCTCCAACTGGAAAACTCCACTCCCTGGAGCCAAACAGTGCAGGCAGCCTTTGACCAGGGCCCCAGCCCAGTGGTTTCAGTCTTTTCAGTGAGGTGTCTGACCTCCCAGCCTGACCACAGGCACTTGCTCTGGGGTTCTGATGCAAACCTGTGCATGTTGCCGGTTGCTGGTTTTGGTGGTAAGCAGTGTGAGACCACCTGGCTGGAGCTGGCATGGGCCCGAGGGCAATAAGATCCAATCTAAACACTCTTGCCAGTGTCCCAACTTGGTTTCCTCCTGGGGACCAGATAAGGCAGTACAGAAGTTAGAAACATTTGAACACTCATTAAATCTGCCATTATACCCTAGGTGCTTTCCATTTAGTACCCTGTTAAGCCTTCAAGGACCACTGCAGCCAGTGTGCTCATTAGCCCCTTCTAAAGATAGGGAAACTGAAGGTTAAAGAAATAAGCTAATTTTTTAAAGGTTGTATAACAGAAAGCTAAGGAGATAGCATCTCCATCCTAGATACTACTGTACCTCTCTTCCCAGTATGATAGTACTCTGCTGAAAAGGGCTTTGAAATGGACCTACAGCCTACCTACCAGGAGAGCAAGGCCTGACCCAGCAGAAAGATAACCTTCCAGAAGAATCATTTTCATCGAGAAGAGAGGTCACAAGGGACTGTTATGTTAAGTTCCATACAGCACCTTCTTTGAAAGGTTATAACTGCTCCAGGTGACAGCTGACTATTCCTGAAACCTGCAGGGTGGAACAGATAGGAAAGCAGCAAGCTTTCCAGGTGAGCCAGCCAGCAGGGGACTAGTGTTGAAGGAGACCATACAACATGCTGCAAAAATAGGCCCAAAACTGAGGCAGCAGCCAGCCCTTGCCTGGGTATCCAGTCAGTGTCAGAGTGGGTTCCATGGGAGCAATGATACTTAAGCATTGCTTTCCAGGGGTATGGAATCTGGAGTAATAGGCACACTGATAGGAAGAAGGTCCCCAGACTATTCAGGACTTTGGTAGAGTTAGAGGACCACATATCTGTATAGAATCCTGTGTCCAGGCCCACAGTGCCTTAGAGAAGAGCTTCATGGAGTCTGATGTAGTCTCAGGCCTACTCTCATTATTAGCCTTGGGATCTGGGGCTACACTGAGTTTCAGGGTGTCTTCCCGAGTAGCCCATGGAGCCTGCAGTCAGAACAGGGTCTGAAAAGAAACAGAGGACAGAAGTCAGTTTTTCCCCCTGTACCACTCACAGAACAGGATTGGAAGAAGTGCATGAAGGGTCTGGAACAACCAACACAGTATGGCTTGTTTGCTCCCTTCCAGAAGGACATTGCCTGGCAGGGAAGTGAGAATACCAACAGTCTAGCTTCTTGTCTAGGAGTAATGATTCTTTGAGACTGAGTTTGGGGAGATTTTGGTCTATTCTAGTCTCTGGCTGGGGGTTTACCCACCCATTGTGCAGGCTTCCCCAGTTGTCCTTCTCTTTCAGCATGATGCACAGATGGACTATTATGGCACCCGCCTAGCAACCTGCTCCTCAGACAGGTCTGTCAAAATCTTTGATGTGCGAAATGGAGGGCAGATCCTCATTGCAGACCTCAGAGGGTAAGTGTGAACACGCCTGGAGAAGGTCTCAGAAATAGCTGGATTTTCAGGCCTGGAAGGAAGGGTGAAAGCACAAATTCAGAGCAATCTCAGAGTGCATTCAGCAATAAGGATGCTTATCTGCCCTTAGCAGAGGTGCAGATAAGGGTGCATTTGGGGTATGGTATTTCTACCACCAAAAGACCAGGGAAAGTGAGGCACTTTGCCTCTTGAAGCCCTCCTCTGCTTAACCCCAGATGGGATAATCCTGACTCTATCCCAGGCCCATCTCAGTACATCTTGATGTGGGCAGCCAGTGCCATGTTGAGAAGCAATGAACACTACACTACTACCATCCTGCACACGGCTAGTCATTCGACCCAAAGTGTCATTTAGGACATCTGATCATGAGATGAACTTACTTGGGACACATATGCAGGCTCATATGGGGCAATTAGAAGACAACTTTGTGGAATTCTGTCCTTCCACCTTCCTATGGGTTCTGGGGATTTGAACTCAGGTCTTCAGGCTTACACAGCAAATGCTTTGCCCACTGAGCCATCTCACTGGTCCCATGAGACAAACTGTATACATCCTGTTGTTCTACCTGTTTGCCAATGGCAGATAAGCCAGGGAGTATTTGATAAATGTTTTCTTTTTACTCCTCCACTAACCCTTGAGGTCTTGGCTCATTTTTGTGGTCACGGCTCTGCTTTCCATCAGTGCCTTTCACATAGTGAGGGTTCCTAACCTGGGTGTCTGGGCCTATAAACACTGTGAAGAATCTCCAACGTTGGGCAAACTGGGATGGGAAAAACAATCACATTTATTTTGCATGATTCTGAATTTACTGTTTCCTTCTATTTTGGATATTGGCTGGAAACTCCAGTAATAACTGTAGACTTGTCACTTTGTCACCAAGAAAAGTCAGATGTGTTTTCAACTTACATATAGCTATCTGAGAATATCATTTGTGCTCTATGACTTTGAAATTATAGATTGTTAGACCTGCCACTTGTTACTTGGTTTTGGTGACGAGGCAATTTGATGTTTTAGTAACTCACTTCAAGATATGAAGTTTTAATTCTAAACCTAGTGGAACACAGACCAAATTTAGGTGTGGTGGCACATACCTTTTATCTTAGCATTTGGAAGTATCACAAGCCCAAGGCTAACCTGAGCTGCATAGTATGAGAGCCTGCCTCAAAAAGCTAAGACAGTGGGGACATTCTGTTGTCTCTCCAGAGGGAAGTGGCACTGTGGGTCCCCTGACCCTCAGAGCAGCCTCTGACCCCCTCCCTTGCAGACATGAGGGGCCAGTATGGCAAGTGGCCTGGGCCCACCCCATGTATGGCAATATCCTGGCTTCCTGTTCCTATGACCGGAAAGTCATTATCTGGAAAGAGGAAAATGGCACTTGGGAGAAGACCCATGAGCACTCAGGACATGACTCCTCAGGTATGTAGAGTTGGCAAGTGAGTATGAGGGTCCTGTGGGTGGGAAGGGCCCCTATTCTGGTCACATCCCAGGCTCCTTTCCCCCTTGCTGTTGTCCATCTTTTGGACATTTGTTGGCTTTTCAACTAGTGTGTCCACAGCTAAAGTCTGTCCCCAAGACCTAAAGCCAGTCCAGAGAGAGAGGTTTAGTAAGAACAGTGAGGCTTCCCAAGACTCAGCCTTGAATCTTAGGTGGCCCCTCCTCCTCACTTTGTGAAGTCAGACAGAAAATGCTGTTAAGTGTTAATTTGTCCTTATTTGGCCAAATGTCAGCTGGCCACTGGCAATCCCTGTGGTTTTTCTAAGAATTTAGCAAAATAGTAGCTATTGGGTGAAAGCTGCTCACTGTGCCTCCTTTCCACAGTGAACTCTGTGTGCTGGGCCCCTCATGACTACGGCCTGATCCTAGCCTGTGGAAGCTCAGATGGGGCCATCTCCTTGCTGACCTATACAGGGGAAGGCCAGTGGGAAGTGAAGAAGATTAACAATGCTCACTCGGTGAGTCCAGCCCCTGCCTCTTGCATGGAGGAGAGAGCCTAGTTGTTGTGTTGTTCTGTACTCCCAGGAGCCTAGGTGTCCCTGCCAAGTGGTGGCTGGGAGGAGTCACAGGTCAGACATGCTGGAGCCTCTTTGTTCTGAAGAGCAGCAGCTGCACCAGCCTTCTCAGCCCAAGGCAGAGGTGGCACTGGCTTCTCCTAGTAAGCCCCCAGGTTGTGGTTAGAAGTGTGAGGCTACAATCACCTTCCACCTAGTTACAGAAGCCTCAGGCTAACAAGCATTGGGGGTCCCCAGAATTCATGATGTTTCAAAGATCCAGAGATCTAGTTCCATGTGCTTTCTGGTCCTTTGAATTTAAGATTCAAATTGGCCAGAAAGCATTGTGGGAAGTGGAAACTCACATTTCTTGTGCCCCTAACTAGGTGTCTTGTAATTCTCAAAAACACTTGTACATGAAAGAACAAATGACTGGGCTGGTGGCACATGCCTTTAATCCCAGCACTTGGGAGGCATAGGCAGGCAGATCTCTGATTTTTAGTCTACAGAATGAGTTCAAGGGCAGCCAGGGCTACACAGAGGAGAACCCTGTCTCAAAAAACAAACAAAAAAAAAGAAAAGGAAAAGAAAAGCAAATTTTTATTTCCTACTTAATTTAATGACTTATTGTTCAAAAGTATTTACAGTTTTTATATTAGTAATTTTCTCCTTGCTGTGGCAAAATCCATGGCAAAAGCAACTCAAGAAAGGAAAGGCTTATTTAGTTTGTACACTGCATCCCCAGTCAGGAAGCAGCACACTTTTTAATTGAGTTCACGGTCTTAAGCCCTGCTTACATTCAGTTGAATGTTCTGGAAATGTCCTCATGGACATGCCTAGTTGTTTGCTTCCTAGGTGAGTCTAATTCAGGTCTTCAGATGGTGAAGATTAATTACTGTAGCTGGTCTTTTGCTACTTTGTAGGCTCTTCTTTCTCCCTATCCTTTATCCCTGCCACTCTGGTTTCACTCCTAACAGAGAGAAAAATCTCTGAATCTAATTTCTTTCCTTTTGTTTCTTCTTTGGCCACAGCTACTAACAAGCCACAACCAACCTACCTAAATGACCAACAACCACCTACCCACTTCTTGGGACTTTCCCATTTATATACCCAGTATTCCAAATGTCACACAATTACAGAAATTATCTGCAGCTGGCAAAGCCATGTAGAGCACAAGGCAAATTGTAGTCACCTAGAATTAAAAACAAAAACATATTCTTGTATTTGTGGTGTTTTGTTTTTGTTTTTTTTTTAAACCAAAATTCTAGAATTCTCGCTACAAACCATCATAGTCTCCATGTGTTTGTATAATTTCTGCAGTTTCTTTTGGTGTTGACTTCTAGTTTTGTTCCATTTTAATGAGAAATATGCATCCTATTTCAGACTTCTGAATTTGTTAACTATGTATCTGCAGCTCTCTCTTCCTTGAATAGTAAATGTCTTATAACTGTATAATCTTAAATGCAGTGCATATATATCATAATCATTATCCTCATATCAGTTGATCATGTGACCTGAGTATCTTACTGTTTTGTCTGCAAAACAATGTCCTTACAAAGTCTGTTTTGTCAGGTACTATTCCTGCCTGGTTTTGATTGTTTGCTTGATTTCTCAGCCTTTCATTTTTAATGTTTGTCTCTGCTGCTGAGGTGAGTTACATCCAGTATATTGTTGGTTCTTGTTTTAAGTTAGTCCATCTCTTTGTATTTGTTTAATGTATGCATGTGTACATGTTCATATTCGTGCAGAGGCAGATCAATGCCTGATGTCTTCTATCACTGTCCACCTTATTTGTTGAGACAGCCTTTCACTGAAACGGATGCTCACTAATTTGGCCAGTGAGCTTCAGGGATCCTCCTGTCTCTGCCCTGCTAATGCTAAAACTATGCAAGTACACATCACCATGCCTGTTTGTGCTGGGTTTGTTGTATTGTTTTTCAAGACAGGGTTTCTCTGCGTTGCCGTGGCTGTCCTGGAACTCACTTTGTAGATCAGGCTGGCCTCAGACTCTCAAGAGATCCACTTGCCTCTACCTCCCGAGTGCTGGAATTAAAGGCATGTGCTACCATGTTTGGCCAATACCTGTTTTTTAATGTATTCTCGGGGTCCACATTCACTACTTATAGAACCATCTTCCCAGCCCTACTCTTGTCTTTTAATTAGTGAATTAAGATAATTTGCATTTTGAAACTGAGGTAGGAAGGAGGGAAGCTCAAGGTCAACCTAGGCTACATAGCTAGACTGTGCCACAAAAAAGAAAAAAAAAATAAGTTAAACCACAGAGTTGCCAAAAGTTATCTAGTTTGAGCCATCTTTGATGGTGCCTTCTCTAGCTCATCTTTGATGTTTAATGATTCACTGCATTAGTGTTTCTTTGCTGTTTCTCATTTGCATGTCTGCTTTTCTAGTGATGTTTATTCTTCCATGTGCTCTGAGAGTAATCTTTCTTCCCGCTCTGGTACAGGACTCTGCAGGGTTCACAAGGTTAGTCTTGTGGCCAAGTTCCCTTGAACTGTGCTTTTATCAGAAGCTCATTTTTCTTTTGATTCTGAACTGTACTGTTATTTTCTTTTAGGAATGGAAACAAACCACTCTATGACCTTCTGGCCTGTAGGGTTTTTATCGAGAAATCTGTTGATGTAATAATTTATCTCTATGGCTAACCCCTACTTTTTGTGCATGTGTTTGTATGTATGTACACACATACATGTACTACTTGTATACTTGTTAGTAGTAGTAGTAGTAGTATGGGTATGTTCACTTGTATGTATAGTCCCAAGGTTGGCATCAGGAATCTTTCCTTGTTGCTCTTCACATTTTATTTTTTGAGACAGGATCTTTTACTAAGTCCATGGATTTGGCTAGGCTGGTTGGCCAGTTGCCTTAAGGAATCTGCCTGTTTCATGTACCTTATCCTGCCTCCCATGCTGGTATTACAAGAACATGTCAGTGCCTAGTTTTTGTTCCTCACATCATCTGTGTGCTGTAACCCAAGTCCTGACAACTAGAGGAAAAGCACCAGGAGTCTATGGAGTAACTTCCCATGCTGTGTGAGAGCACAGCCTCGCTACATTGTTCCTCTGCAGATCGGGTGTAATGCTGTCAGTTGGGCCCCTGCTGTTGTTCCTGGAAGCCTTATAGACCAACCATCAGGGCAGAAACCCAATTACATCAAGAAGTTTGCATCAGGAGGCTGTGACAATCTCATCAAGCTGTGGAGGTCAGTGAATTGTGTGGACATCTCTTCAGTGGGGCACTTCTACTCTGCCCGTCACTGCTCAGCCAGAGTGTACAAGAAGCGAGGTCACCTTTCCTTGGATCACAGCATACTGTTTTCAGTCTGTTACAAATTTCATTTTAAAACAAACTTGCTCTTTTTCTAAACACTTTTAGTATTCCCCAAACTTTGGAGCTGTGGAGGAAAGGGCATTTCCTGGGGACTTTATGAACAGCTTAGTAAGCTAAGTAGAAGTCCACTCATTATTCTCACTGAAGAGAGCATAAAAGGTGGACTCTTCACCCTGGGTGGGGATGTCTGCCTGCCTACCACTGCATTCCCTGCTCTGGTGTCCTCTGCAGGGAGGAAGAGGATGGCCAGTGGAAGGAGGAGCAGAAGCTAGAGGCACACAGCGACTGGGTTCGAGATGTTGCCTGGGCCCCCTCCATTGGCCTGCCCACCAGCACCATTGCCAGCTGCTCTCAGGTCAGCCCCACACCATGAAAGCATCCCATATCTTATTGAGGTCCTTCCAATCTGGCCAAAGGGAAAGGCCTTCAAAAGGGGGAAGGAGGGCAGCAGTATCCTTATAGACCTGGGCAGAGACCAAGAGGAACCCGTAGGGCCAGTGTTTAGTGAGATTGTAGCTTTAGAACTAGTAGTGCCAAGCTTGGAGCCAAGTTCAGATCCCTCCTGACCCTCGTGTAAGAGATGGAGGTACCCAGACTTAGTGCCTTGGGTTCATGTACCTAGTCACCCTTCCTAAACACAACCATCTCTTATTTCCTGTCATCAATGGGATGAGAGATAAAAAGCAAGGCCTTCTGGTGGGTCTATTGGTGTTTTATTGTAAGTTTCTTTTTGTTCATGTTCTGAGCTTGATTGAAGAGATAGCTGTCCGTATTCCCATGAGAAAGCAGCCAGGTAGGAAGAAAAACAGATTATCCTTACAATTTCCTGTTTATCCCCACAGAATCCAGAGCCCCTATCCTATTGTGAGAAGTGTTCAGGATGAAAGGATCAGAAGCAGGCCACTGGAACAGACTCTTTAGTGCAGCTGCCCTGTCTCTGCATGTGCAGATGACTGTCCCTAGGGAGAATGCTTGTACTGGCATCTTCTGATGTTTGTCTTTCCCTAGGATGGTCGAGTGTTTATTTGGTCCTGTGATGATGCTTCAAGCAGTACGTGGTCACCCAAACTCCTACACAAGTTCAACGATGTTGTGTGGCACGTGAGCTGGTCCATCACAGCAAACATCCTGGCTGTGTCAGGTGGAGACAACAAGGTATATACCCCATTACCAGGGGGCAAGCATATAGGCTCTAATATTTTTTTATTTGCTGGCATGTATAGTAAATGATCAGAGGTGGGTCTAAATTGTATCTGTCTCAACCCTTTGAGGTACTGTGTCCCCTGTTACATAGAAAACGGAGGTGACTTGTATAGCGATTATAGGGTTGCAGTGTAGGGATTTCGTATCTGCAGTATAGCCTAAGCTCTGCAAGGAGAGCATGGGGCGCTTTCCCAGGAATAGTTCACAGGGACTTGTACCACCTCCTATGTCTCCACCTCCTGCTTCTGCTATGACCCAAGTAGCCACTGGAAAGACCAACATACCGAAAGTAAAGAACACATCCATATTTCCTAGAAATGGTAAAATACCTTTTTTTTTTTTTTTTTTAAACCACAGTAATGACTTTAAGTGTTGTGTGTTGACCTATGTAACTGATCTCCAGAACTCTTAAGCTTATAAAGCAAATTCAGTATCTATTAACTAGCCCCCTTCCCTACCCACCACCATATTTTCTGTCCTTTTTGTGGCAGGCTTATTTCATTTAGCAAAGTGGCTTGGGTGAACAAACATCTCTTCACACCCTATGTAGGTAGCCTTTTCTGTTCTGCAGTAGTTCCAGAACAGGCTTGCAGGCCCATCTCAAAAGATCGTCATCCTCCTCTCATTTCTTTGTACCAGAGTCAGGATCTGGTGTTTAAATTAGCATTCCTGAGGCATTTTACAGCCTTCCTTCTCAAGCCATTTCTCACCCTGTGTGTGAAGTGAGGATGCTGCTTCTGTGACAGGTGCAGGCAAGCTGCACGAGGTGACAGCATAGGAGCTATAGGACAATGTTATCAGAGAGCACCCACTCAGCTTCTCTCCAGGGACAGACCTTTTTCAGCTATTTAGTCTTCAATGATCCCACTTACAGTAGCTGTTGCCTGTTTAACTTGTGCTGTTACACTTGGTGACACTGACAGTCCAGCCCTGACCTGTTCTCAGCCACATACATCCCCTCATAGTTACACTAGTTTTAAAACAGAATTTGTATTGTAGCCTATTCCTGTTGTGCTCTGTAACATGGGTTATTCCTTCCCCTGCATTCTGAGCAGGTGTAATGGGAGGTAAATAGTTTTTCCCATGGCCTCTGTGTTTGCACTTAGGATGAGACTGAAGAGCAGCAGATAAACAGGCACAAACCTGTGACTTTGTGCACTAACTTGCAGGTGACCCTGTGGAAAGAGTCGGTGGATGGACAGTGGGTGTGCATCAGTGATGTCAACAAGGGCCAGGGTTCCGTGTCAGCCTCCATCACAGAGGGCCAACAGAACGAGCAGTGATAACACAGGCAGCCTGAACTTCCTGTTTCCATGACTGCATATTCTGGAACAACATCCAAACAACCAGGAAGAAGGGTTCAAATGCTACCAAGATTCCACACCCAAGAGTGCCCACAGATGCAACTCTGGGTGCTCACCTGCCTTACTGGGATTCCATGTGTTTAATAATTTAGTATCCAGCTGAAAGTATTCATGTTAGGAACAAATAACTATTATTTTTAAATATTTTTGGCCATTTTTAACTATCTTTTGGTTCGGGCTATTTCCAAGCTAATAAAATCATATTGCATAGAAACTTTACTGTGTCATCCCACACAGTGCATCTGCCCGAATTGGGCTGCTGCAAGCGCCTGTGCAAGACATGCTCCAGGCCCCACCTGCAAATGGGATTGATGAATTCTGAAGAATGGGTCTGAGATGCTAACACATGCATACAGGTGAGCAACCAGATGCCAGGCAAGGAATGTTAACTCAGCCCTGGGTATTCTACACAAATGCTATGATGGGAAACCAAAGTTCTGGTCCTAACTGACCTTGGGCCAGGTGCCACCTCCCAGCAAAGGTCTTGGAACCTTCACCTGAACCAGCAGTCACCACCTACTGAAGCCTGTTTTATTTAGTAGACCATAACACCATATTTCAGGTAAGCAATATGCAGAAAGAAATAGAGGACTTACCCACTTGCTAAGGAGAAAGCCAAGATTAGAGTTCTAGCTCACCTCACCTAAACTTGGTCTTACTTGCTCTCTGTAGAACCAAAAAGGGATATTGTTATTCCTCAGCCACAATGTATGTGTGTATACTCACACCAGACCTTCACATACATACCAAGGCAACTACTCTAGCCAGTTAATTCAGGAGAAATGCTGAGGCCCCCGTTATGCTCACTCCATCTATTTTACTTTCCATTAGCCAAACTTGTTTTGCTAACAAGTTAGGGAGAACTGAAATGAGACCCCAGGATCTGCCCACACAGTCTCCCAAGTCACTCCACAGAACCCAAACCCTCCAGAAATTGCATGAAAACCACAGCTTCATTTCTTCTATGATGTGTATGAGAAAAGGCTGGGAAAGACCTTTCTTATGCTGCTTAGTTCAAAGAGAATGCATAGAAGTCTGTTAGCCTAAGGACAAGTCTGGCTCTCTCTGCTCCTTGCCTTGCTGTTCTCAGTGGTTAACACAGTGCCTCACACAGCAACCAGGGGTTCCTTATAGCATATGCCTCTCAGGATCAGTTAAGGTGGTATGGGACTGAGTAAAATTATGACCCTAAAAGCTTAGGGTTTGGAGAGTAGCTCTATGTGGCCAGAAAGTAATAGTTCGGACAATCTCTAAGATCCACACAGGAGGGTAGTCAATGGAACAACTTCATAATACTATACTTGGGAAAGTTCCAAGAAAGATGATAGGCAGGCATGGTGGGCATACTTGTAATGCCAGCACTTGGGATGCAGAGGCAGTTAAGAGTGCCACAAATTCAAGGCCAGCTTTATTTGCAATAGCAAATTCCAGGGCAGGCAAAGCTACATATTGCAGTCCTATCTCAAACACCTTAACAGTACACCTTCAATTAACTTTAAGGTTTGTTTTGTTTTACTTTGAGGCAGGGTCTCTTCATGTAGTCCTGACTGTCCTGGAGCTGGACAGATAACGTAGACAAGGATGGCCTTAAACTCAGTTGAGTACTGGATTAAAAGCGTGTACCACCCACCACACCCAGCTTCAGGTTTGTTCTTGAAAGCCAAGCAGCCTTGACAAAGGCTAAAGTAATCTGTACTAGTTTGTGTGAGAAAACCCAACACTCTTGATCAGTAGGTCTCGACCTTCCTATGCTGCAACCCTTTAATACAGTTCCTCATGTTATAGAACCATAAAATTATTTTCGTTGCTACTTCATCACTGTAATTTTGCTACTGTTATGAATCAGAATGTAAATGTCTGATATGCACAATTACCTGATATGTGACCGGCCCAAGATGTCATTACCCACAGGTTGAGAATTACTGCTTTTAAAAAACCATTAACAAAATGTAGCACTTGACATCTCAAACACCAGAATATCCTGCTTCCAGGTCATAACTAGCAGGTATGTAAAAAGATTAACATGACTCAACCAAAAGTGGAAAATATACATGCCTGGGGTCTTGGCTTAGTAGTAAAATTTGTCAAGACTTGAATTCCATTCTCAGATACAGAGTTTAAAAGGGGGGGGGGAGTGTATCTAAGGCAGGACTGGAGTTCCAGGCTAGCCTAGAATACACAGCAATACTATTAAAAAAAAAAAATAGACTTTGAAGTTAGCAGCCAAGGATTTTAAAAATAGCTATTATATTTTCAAGAATATAAAGAAAAATGAACATGACAAAAATACCTAAAAACTCAGCAGTAGAATTTGCAGTTAGAAATATAGGTGACCTTTAACACTCATCAGAAAGGAACCAAACAAGTACAGGAAAAGGAGGTTGAGAGAACGAACCAATTAATAAAACCTTTTGGGAAATCCCTTATGGACTAGCCTGTGAATAGTTGGAGTCCCACTGGGGAGGAAGACAAGGAAAGAAAAAGAACCGAGGGGATGAAATTTGAAAGAGACAGCCAAAATTCTTCCACACTTAAAACTCCTTTATGTTCCACAACAAATGGAAACATTCAGAATGGAAACATGTTAAGCAGCAGAGTTAAAGATAAACTACATTCATAAGAACACCTAAAACAGCAGCTAACTTTTCATCAGAAACCACAAAAAGCAAAAAAACATCTCTGATGAAAGAAAACTCCTAGAATTCCATACCTGCTAAAATAAAAATATCTTTAAAATAAAGTTGTTAGCTTTCTATTATTGTAACAAAATGCCTTAAATAAAAAGATAACCTTAGCTCACAGTGTCAGAGTCTTTAATCCATGTTTGATTGGGTCTGTTCCTTTGGCCTGTGGTTTATTTCATCTGCAACAATGGTGGGCACTTGTAGCCAAGTTCAAGCCTGTTCGCCTCATGGCAGGGATAAGCAAGAGTAGAAAGACCAGGACCCCCAATATTCTCAAGAGTATATTCCCTCACTAGCTTAATGTTCTTCCACTATACACACCTCTCACTAGGATTACAGGCTGGCAAGCAACCTTTAGCAAATATTCAAGATCTGAACAAGATAATGTTCTAGCTTGGTATGGTGGCACTTACCTATAATCCCAGCACTCAGGAGACAGAGGCAGGAGAATCAAGGGTCAAGGCCAGTCTCAGCTCCATAGCAAGTTCAAGACCAGTGAGATACTGTCTTAAGCAGAGGCTAGAGCGAACCTACACAAAAAGCTGGTAAGATAGAGACAGGAGTATCCTGAGGACATGTTAGGCAGCCACTCTAGCCAAACTGGCAAGCTACAGGTTCAGTGTCAAAAAATGAGATGGAGGGCTAGAAAGAGAGCTCAGTGGTTAAGAGCACGCATTGTTCTTGCAGAGGACCAGAGTTCTCTTCCAAAGTACCCACATCAGACAGCTCAACTCCTATAACTCCAGCACCAGGGAATTCAACACCCTCTTCTGGCCCCCACAGGTACCTGCACACATGTGCACAAACCTACATGTAGACATAAATGCATATCTTTTGTAGACACAAAAGATAAAATTGGGGAGGGGGTAAGAGCAAATGAGGGAAACACTTGATGATGTCAGTCTCTGGTCTGTATACATACCTACACATACACACAAAATATCAAACCACATTATCTGGGTATAATGACATACATCAATAATCATAGCTACTCAGAAGATTGATGCCTCAGAAGGATCAAAAGAGCCCAGAAGTTCAAGCCAGCCTCAAGAAAACAGCAAGAAGTTGTCCCTGTCTTTCCACTCACTCCCACCCCCAAAACAAGAAAGGAAGAGGAGAAGAAGAAGAAGAAAGAAGAAACAGCCCAACAGCAGCACATGCCAGAATCCCAACTGAGGCAGGAAGATTGCCAGGCTATATAATGAAACTGATCTCAAAATTCATAAGGCCAAACTTAAGGACCATGCATGGAGATAATCTAGAACCTCTGCACAGATATAGCCCATGGCAACTCAGTCTCCAAGTGGGTTCCCTAGTAAGGGGTTACCAGGACATAGAGGAAGACAGTGCAGCCAGTCCTGATGAGACCTGACAGGCTAGGGTCAGAGGGAATGGGAGGAGGACCTCTCCTATCAGTGGACTTGGGGAAGGATGTGGGAAGAGGTGAGGGAGGGAGGGTGGGATTGGGAGGGATTAGTGGAGGGGCCTACAGCTGGAATACAAAGTGAATAAACTGTAATTTATTAAAAAAAAAAAATATATATATATATATATATATATGTATTTTTTTAAAGCTGCCCCCCACCCACAACAATGGCCAGAGAGCTGAGCTGGCCCTTCACCATGACTGATGGACCATAGCAGTAGAAAAGACTTGATTTTTCCTTAATTTTTCCCTCAGCAGAGAGACCATCATCTTGACAGACTGGTGGTGTCCCCCCCCCTCCCTGCCTCAGGGCAGTCACCTCTCCTTCCTGCCCTGGAGCTGTGAAGACAGGAGACAAAATGGCCACACCTGTCAACACCTCAGGTTTAAGGTTTAGTTCCACACAGGGAGAACATAAAGGGGGAAAATAATAAAAATGCTGAAAACTGGCATTAGATAGGCATCAAAAGGAAAGAATCAAGTATCTGCCTCTGTCAAATAAAACAGGCTTTAGAAGGAAAAAAATGCCACCAGAGATACCAGAACATGATAAAAGACTTAACAATCTAAATTTTGTCTGCACTGAACAGGAGCTTCCACACACTTAAGAGCAGGAACAGTGCAAAGAAACCATCTACAATTTTAGTCTGGCATCTCCATCCTCATTTAATAACAGAACAAAGAGATCTCAAACATTTACAGAACGCATGAACCATCCTTGTACTTGAACCGACATATGCAACATTCTACCCAGCAATGCTTCAGCACACTCATTTGACTCTACAATACTCATCAAACGAAACAGCTCACAGACCTTAAACCCCAATACATATAAAAATTAAACTCAGGATTGGTGTTGGATCTGCCATGTTTGTGTCTGTGTTTGAATATGTGTTCATGAGTGCAAGTGCTGGCAGAGGCCAGAAAAGGTCACTGGATTTCCAGGAGCTGGAACTACATGTAGCTGCAAGCTACATGCAACATGGATGCTGGGAACTAAATTTAGGACCTCTGCAAGAACACTGTACACTCTTAACCATGAGCCATCTCAGCCAAATAGTTTTCCTTTTAAAAGTAGGCATTTGGAGAGGGAGGGTGGCAAGATAGATCAGCAAGTTAAGGCACTTGCTGCCAAATCTTAAAGCCTGAATTTGATCTGTGGGTCTCACATCAGTAGAAGGAGAGAACTGATTCTCATAAGCTGTCCTCCAACTTCCATATGCTATGGCATGTGCATGCCCATACACACAACACATACACAAATGTATTTTTAAATTCGGCATTTCTAATCTTAGTGCTAAGGAAAGGAAGCCCCAAAACAATATACCTGATACAGTCTCAAAACTGGTTCCAAGACTGCAGATTGCTTAGTGGATACAGCTCTGAGAGCTCTTAGTGGATACAAACTGAGAACCTAAGTGTGCATCCCCAACATTCCATAAAAACCTGGGCAGGCATGGCAGGCCACCTGACATCATAATGCCCAGGATATAGGGCCAGGGGACTCCTGACAAGCTGGCCAGCTAGACAAATTCAGTTTGCAAGTTCTCAATTCAGTGAGAGACTGCCTCAGTAAATAAACTAGAGAGCAACTGAGGAAGACACTTAATGTTAACCTTTGACCTCCACCATCATGTGTACATACGTGTATGTAAAGGTGTGTGTGTACATATGCACACTCAGGCACATGCACAGTTCCCACTGATGGAAACCAATGCTTCTTGGGCATGTGTTTGATTTTGGGTCTGTGGAGGAAATGTACTTGAGGGATCTCAGTGGAACAGAAAGTTATTTAAAACTGGGGTCATTTCAAAAGTACCCAGGATCAGCTGGTCAGCTGAAAACACATTGGACAAAATGAGTAAATTAGCTGAAAAGCTACCATGTAAAATAATTTCTGAGTTCATGTTAGAAAAAGCATGAATCCACCCTTACTTTGAAAATGAGTGAAGAAATAGAAACCTAAGTAATATTCTTGCCTTCTCTGTGCAAACAGGTAATAAAATAATTGCAAATGCACTCAAAAGGCAGTAACTACTTGTGAGTACGGACTGGGCAGTTATCTGGTAGTTAACTGGTTAAGTAACACAGGATGGTAATTACAAGCATTCAATGCAAGATTTTGGGGAATTTGAATAATGTTCAGTGACATTTACCCATAGGTAAATCTTGCTCTTAAAATACCACAAAAAGAGGGCTGGAGAGGCAGCTTACTGCTCTTGCAAAGGAAAAGAGTTCAGTTCCCAGTGCCCACATCAGCTGGTTCACAACTGCCTGCAATTCCAGCCCCAAGGGGATCCAACACCTCTAGCCTCTACAGGCATCTGTACCCTCGTGTGCACACACCCACACTCATACCTACATAATTACAAATAATAAACATTTTAAAAGAACATGTTTTGGGTTTTTTTTAATAACCAGAAAATAATTTCTGAGGATGCTTGTTACATGAATTTCCTGGGCTGCAATTATGAGCATTCTCCCAAACTCCAGCATGCTGTAGGGGCACTAGCAGTTGAGACCAGGGTCCTGCAGGCCTAACCTAGCACTGAGACCTTAGGGCTAGCCTACCAGCAACTGAAAATGTTTAAAAATAATGGCAGAGGGGCAAGTGGCCATGCTTAGTACCTTCTACCCAGAGAGGACTAGGATCTCAGGAAAGAGAAAGGATCAGATTTGTGGGCATGGCAAGGTGGGGTCTGAGCCCCACAGACTTGTACAGTATTAGGTCTGGGCAAGCATTAGGCTGAGGGCAACATTGCTGAATAGACACTGAAGACAGAAGAAGCTACTGGCTGGGGCTGCAGTTTCAAGATGGTAGAAGGGCAGGAAGGTCAGTGGGACATGCTGGGCTTTGAGAAGAGACAGAAGAGTGCCCATAGGATCATTCAACAGCACTGCAGACACAGAAGCCTGGATACTACAGAGCACTTGGAGCAGGCACAAAACAAAATACCCACTGGATTCAATGACTAAAAAGTCAAGAGTTCAGTAACAACTTGTCATTAATCACACACTAAAACATTATTTTGGACATAACGTTAAATACAGTCATATATGTGTGATAAATAATCTTGGATGTCAACTTGACTATATCTGGAGTCAACTAAAAGAAGCTAGGCACACCTGTGGGTAGGAATTTTCTGGATTAAATGATTTAAGGTGGAAGACCCACCCTAAATCTGGGCCTTCTGGTGGCAGCCCCTATAAAAGGACACAGAAAAAAGAAGCTTCTGCTTTTTGCCTGCTTGCCCCCTCACTCTCACTGGCAAGTTCATCTATCCTTTGGCTAAACCATTCCTCACTGGCATAAAAGCCTACTTCTGCATTTGAATGTAAACTAAAACCCAGTTGGCACATCCCACATTAAGACTGAACTAATAGATTCTTGGCCTGTCAGGAGACACCCATTGTTGGACTAGCCAGACCAGAGCCATAAACCACTCTAATAAATCCCCTTTACTATACCTAAATTCATTCTGTCAGTTGTTTCTCTAGAAAACCCTGACTAACATAACATACATTGAAATTTAGTCTGCCTGTTTTGGTCTTGCCTTTGTTTACTGAAACAGGATCTCACATTGTTGCCCAGGTTAGCCTCAAACTTGTGTCAGTCATCCTGTCTCAGACCCTAGAATACAGGTATGACATTCGCCATCATGTCTGACTTTTCCCTCCCTGTCCCCATTCAGCCTAAGACCAAAATTTAGCCAAAGTGTATTACAAAACACACTTGTTGAACCAACTACTAATGAAAATGAAGGAAGTTTGTGACAAGCCAACAGACGTTTGCTCCCCAGCCCACTTCCCACAGTCTGTGGTCCTCATTATCAAGGCCATCAGTACAGTGGGCATGCAGGGAACACCGGGACACCTGCTTCCAGGAGAGAACAGCCTAGCTCCCTTTCTTGGAACTGTCACATTGGTTTGGGTCACAATCAAAAAGGGAAGAAAGGGCTAGACTCTGATGGCTCAGCAGTTGAGTGCTGTTCTTCCAAGTCTTGAGTTCAAATCCCAGCACTCACAAGTCATCTCAAAACTGTAGCCCCATGTGATTCAATGCCCTGAGTACATGCAGACAAAATACGCATATACATCAGTAAATCTGTTAAAAAAAACAAAAAAGGGGGATGGGTTGGGGGAGGGGCACCTGTCCTTTCCTACAGTCATAGTCTTCCCCAAGCTCCTACTGCTAGGATGGAGGTGCATATCCCAGCCCTGCCCTCTTCCACAGCTCTGGGTGGGTGGCTATTTTCTGGTGCCTTCTCCCTCCATTCTTCCATCACCAGACCTTCCTCCCTACTAAGCTACACTCTGAATAGCAAGGTATGTGACTAGAGGGTGCCAGCTCTGTCCCTAGAGAGTTAGCAACTTGTGTATTTGCTCACTTGTGGCCTTATCTAAGATCAACACAGCACATCCTGCCTCCAGAGGTATCAACACAGCACCTCCTGCCTCCAGAGGCTTCCAAGGGGTGAGTGGACAAGCCTCATAGCTCAGCCATCGCCTGGTCACCATGCATGGGCTTGCTGTTCTCAGACTGGAGGGCTGTAGGTGTTACCATACCACTTTCATCTTCAGGCCCTCTGAGACCCAGGGCCAAATGGTTTCTATGTTCAGGTGGGTGACAGGACTATGAAGGTGCCTGGATGAGGACTAAACATAGGATTTCAGCCACCCCTGCCAGATGGTCTTTTTCTCACAGGAGTTGCAACTCAGCCCATGCCTACCTGTACCTAGTATTCCCACGTAAGGGCCCAATCTCCTCCAAGACTACTTAGTAGGTTAGAATGTTGTGGCCCTGAATCATTTGTTCTGCTATCAACGACCCCCTAACTAGACATCCATAGTCTAACATACTTGCCTCCTGCAGGCCACATCATTAGTTATACAGGGCTCCCACACCTGTGCTGTCACTCAGTACTCAAAGAACCAGCTGCCAAGGACAGGGGATCTTTGTGAGAAAAGCTTCCAAAGACTGTCCTCTTTCAAAGCTATACTGCAGGACTTCTACACCGGGTCCATCTTGTCTGCTCCTCCACAATGGGCATCCCTTGTGCTAGGGCCTTAGAAACTGCCAGTGGACACAAGAGGCAAGCTGCCAGGTTAGCAAACACCAGAATGGGCTGGAATATGGTTCAGTGGAAAATGTCTACCAAGTACAAAGCCCTGGAAACTATGGCCAACAGTGCAAAACAAAACAAAATCAACCAGTAAAACCAAGCAAGACACAGAAGAGCACCAGGTGAGCGTTCCCCAACACTTGCTTCTTAGGTAGGGCAGTTCAGGCTCTCTTGGAAATATCCCAGAATAAGAGCTCTATGTGATCAGTGTGTGAAAGACACAATAGCCTCAGTGGCAGGGAAAAGCTGGTCAAAATCTTCGGAGTTCTCCTGGTGGCAACACCATCTCACATGGAAAGGGGCAAGACAAGGTCATACCATAACTAAAGCAGACCTCAGAGCTTCTCACCTACCTACCCTCCACCAGGCGCAAGCCCACACAGGCACCACAAAGACATCAGGAAGTGCTGTGCTACTGGAAGTCAACTGGATACTTCTCAGGACACCTGACCTCCACAGTTGTTCTTCAACAGTGGGAGGACAGAGCGAAGAGTATTTAGTTCCCAAGGAATGCAAAACTGCCCACGCAAACTACACAGCCTCAGAGATGAGACTGCCAGATCCGAACAAACAGAAGGCTCCCTATATAAGTAGCAGCCAGCCAGCAGGCATCACATCCCCAGGCATTCCAGGTAGGCTCTCTCTGCTGTGTGTTTGTGTATGTGTGTGTGTATGCAAGAACATGTGTGCTCAAAAGGGTTTAGATTGCTCACTACTCTGGCCACTCATTTACTTTCTCTGCCTGTCAGTGAGCTCACTGAACAAAGGGGACAATGGAAAACCTAGGTCAGCCTAATTAGCTTCATCATCAAGCTCATGAGTCCTTAGGGCAAGCAACACTGCATTGGACAGCCCTCTAGCACATCATATTCTGCCTCAACAGTTTAGAAAAGGCAGAGTTCAAGCCTTCAGCTCTTCCACCCTTCTAAGGTGGGGACAAGGAACCTTGTTTCACTTAGCAAGTTACTTCTAGAATCTTGCTGGAATCCAACCTGAACAAAAAACTAAGTCATATCATGGAGATGAGGTATGATACCATAAGACCCTCTCTTCCCAGGGCCATCTGTCCCCACCACCAAGGCCATGATGTCTTCAGGGACCATCTGCAGTCTGCTACTCCTTGGCGTGCTCTGGATGGACGTGGCCATGGCAGGCTCCAGCTTCCTGAGCCCAGAGCACCAGAAAACCCAGGTAAGCCATCTCCCCAAGCTGCACATCCATCCTGACTCAGGGTCTGTTCTAGTCCTATGACTGACAGTAGTAGCTGCTCCATCTCTCTGGGCTTCCTGCCTTTTCACAACATTTCAGCCTCTGGATGTGATTCAATTCTGCTTATAAAAGGATACACAGATTTAAGAGCCTAAAGAGAAAACCTCACCAAGCATGGTAAGTGCACACCTATAATCCCAGCATTGGGAGACAAAGACCAGTGTGCCTCAAGTTCAAGGCTAGCCTGGGCCACATAGTAAGCCTCTATCTCGAGAAGGCTAAAACTAATTTTAAATTAAGAAAAATAGACACTTTCTTTCTTTCCAGCAGAGAAAGGAATCCAAGAAGCCACCAGCCAAACTGCAGCCACGAGCTCTAGAAGGCTGGCTCCACCCAGATGGCAGAGGACAGGCAGAAGGGGCAGAGGATGAGCTGGAGATCAGGGTTGGTACCCAGACACCAGTATGCTCTTGTAGCAGTAAAGGGTTTGGGGGTGGAGGTAAACTATACACGTGGCTTTTCAAGCTACTTAACACCAGCACCAACAGCTCCACAAGGGGCTCAGGGTCTCCATCCCAAGAGTAAAATGTCCACAGGTAACTATGTTTCAAGGGTTACTAGGGACAGCCATGAGCAAAGACACAACATCAACAGATTCCAGGGATCACAAAGAGCCAGGAAGCATGGATAAAGAAACAGAGACAGAAGAAAGCCTTCTGTTTGTCCCAGTGGCCTCTCTGGCCTGCCCTGGTGACAGACAGGTGAGAAGGCTACTAATACAGGCTGGCCAGCCTACACCTGAGACCTAATGAAGTCAGTTTTGTTCTGAAAAATCTTGCACGGGGTAAGGAAAAACCACAAACATTTTTATATTGGGAGAAGGACTGGAAGGAAATAAAGGGACCATAGGTGTCTTTCAGCAGCTCACCTAGGATTCCCCTGGGAACAGGAAATAGCACCTGACAATACCAGTCCCTGTACTGAGTGTCAGCATGAAGTAATTTTATCTTCAAACACAGCAACCATGACTAACTGGGCAGCAGAGGCACAACCTAGAGCTTTACAATTGCTAGGCATGTGCTCTGCCAGGGGCCATCCCCAGGCCTCATCTACCATTATCATGACTCATTTACTCTTAAAACTAAGCAAGGCTGGCATTATTTGCTAAACTTTGCAGATAAGGAACCAAAGGTGAAAGGTAAACTCATTTGCCCAAGGCCATCAGGTCAAGGTTTACTACACTCCTTCCCCCATCTTCCTTTCTGGTCAAGAACAAATGCCAATGCCAAGATCACCAAACTCCTGTTCTCTGATCCTCTCTGGAGAATGGCTATCTTCTCAAACCCTTGCTCCACAAGAAGTGTGACCCTTAAAATTAAGTCATCCTACCCCCCAAGGTTCCTTCACTAACATGGCATGGTCACAGTCTTATGAAACAACCAGGACCACACTGGGCAGGTGGCCAGTGTGGAATCAAGAGCCCTGTACTTAGTTCTCATAGGGAAGGGGTCTTAGCAAACACAGGACTCGTTTCTATGATACTCAACAGGAGACAGATATCTGTATTAGACACAAGTATTAGGCACAAGCAGATGGGAAGGCCTGCAGCACAAAGAGCGCACAATCTGACCACTGCCTAACCTCCCATCTGGGCCCCATCATTCCTCAAAGGTTTTTTCCCCCCTAAATCAGGTCTATAGACAAAACACCAACTACCTGAACCGCACTAAGCAGATGGACCCTGAACCAAGGAAGAAGGGACTTTTCCAGGTTGTATGAAAACCTGGAATGCTGCCACTTCTCACAAGCGCCTACTATTATGTCCCAGGGTGTCAGCCTTACCATCTCTCCTAATGGGTGTGTGGGTTTCTCCCATGATAACTAGGTGATCTGAGCAGCCTGCACTTACAATGCTGTGTGAGAAGAATTAGCATTTGCAGACGAGAAGACTACAAGGGCCCCAGGTCCCTAAAAAAATCACATAACTCCCCCCATCCATGCTCTCCACTTTTATTTCCTTCAGGCCAAAACAAACTGCAGAGGTACAGGCTTCTATGTGCTGCAGGGGCCTAGTTTACATGGTGCCTAGCAGCCTGATAAGGCCTGTGCCCACACTAAGTAAGCAAGGACTTGGGGCTGGGCAGATTTCAGAGTTCTGCTTTCTAAATCATTGGCTTTCACCTCTGTTTGTGACACAGGGGGACCATCTAGCTTCTCTGGGCTACTGCAATGAGGACAGGGAGAGTACTAGAACAGTTGGCACCCCCTTCTTGCTTTAAGTTTACATTCACAGACCACTCAGATACCCAGATGGCCAACATGGCCAAGCCTCCCTGGGGTGGGGGGTGGGGCTGGAACAGGGCAGGCAGGATGAGGCCTCAGGCACTCCATTCCCAACCCTACCTTCTAGTTCAATGCTCCCTTCGACGTTGGCATCAAGCTGTCAGGAGCTCAGTACCAGCAGCATGGCCGGGCCCTGGGAAAGTTTCTCCAGGACATCCTTTGGGAAGAGGTCAAAGGTGAGTCAATCCAAAATGGAGCTTAACCTATTTTATGAGTGACAAAATTTCCTCCCCAAACCCCACTCTAAAGGTTCTAATCTTCCTCACTACCTGTGGGAAAGGATGCTGAGCTGGTGTGTGTGGCAGCCCAGGAGGGCTGATCAGGTCAATCTTCCAACAGCCCTGTTTCCAAGAACTAGTGTTATCAGTTAGCCATTTGGCCCCATCTGAGCCTTAGTTCTTTTAACTATGAGGTGGTGCTTACATCTATTTCACAGCATTTCAAATTATCTGGCTTAGAAGCATCTTTACAGTGTAACTTCATAAAGGGCATCTGTGCCACCGTAGCACAGTGAAAATCCCATAGGCATTGACAAGCACACTACCACTGAGCTAGAATCCGGGTTTACAGTATACTCTTACTTTGTGAAGAATATACCTAGCTTTTCCACGACTGAGGAAGCAAAAATCTCAACAAGTTACATTCTTTCCCTAAGCACTTCCTCACAAATATGGCAACCACACATAGTACACCATACAGATGAGGAAAACAAGATTTGGCAATATGAGGACACTTACACTCAAACACCATCTTTCAAGTCCAAGGCCAGTGATTCCCACCCGTTACCACACGCTTGCTTCCAGCATACCATTTCTGATGACACAGGCAGATGGTACTATTGAAGACTGACTTGATCTCTTGCTTTTCAGAGGAGCCAGCTGACAAGTGACCACTGACATGACTGGTCCACTGTGCTTTCCTATGGTCTTAGCCTCCTCTGTAACTCCCAGACTCTCCTATTACCTTAAGAATAAATGTTCAAACTGTGTGCCAAATGTTCAAAATAAGAATTTATTTCATCTACATGGTAAAGTTTACATTGTACTTTAAAAACTGGAACAATGAAATGAAACAATGATTTGAGTTTATGACCCATAAGGAAAAAAAAAAAAAAAAAAGGCACAGCAAGGCAGGTTAGCATGCTTGAAAACCAAAGGAAACCTTCTTCATCCCAGCAGCAGAATGGCAGGAGGCCTGTATGTCAGAAGGTTCTAAAGGTGGGGGATGGAGGCCACAAACACAGTTCGTACATCCTAGAGCTTCCTGAGGAATTAGAGCTACACTAGGAGCTTCCCAAGAGCCACCCCTATCTGGGGTGATGAGAATGGGTATCTGGCTGGGTAACCACATGCTCCACTCATCAACTCCAGAAGTCTGGCAAAGCAGTGCTCATGGCTGGCCACTGCCTGACACCAGGCAGATGTCCAAAACTACTTCCCAAACTCCAGCTCACAGCTCCTAATCCTCAATTCCCAAGTCCTACAGCTGTAATTCCAGTTGAAACACTAATTACTCACAACTTAGTGCAAATCTTTAGACAATGTCCAAAGTCCTGTGATATTAGATAGGATCCAAAACTGAAGCAAGACCCCAGAGAGCTAAATAAATAGGACACCCAGTGTTGCCCAGTTAAGGCAACACTACTCAGGAGAAACCATGTACCACCTCAAGGGAAGCCTTGTCGCAGAACCCAAGGCATGAGATGAGCAGGGCACACTCATCAGGCACTCTGAAATCTAAACAAATCTCTGCCAAGGAGCTATGATGCTCCCTGCCACTACCAGCTAGAAATTCCTCACACATGAAGGCTTGGCCCTACCCCAGCCCTCCTCTAAAGAACCTTTTAACAAACTCCCCAAGGTATGACTTGTTAGAAGTCCCAGGATCCTGTTCAAACAACACAGCACGTGGAGCCAGGTGGATGTAGGATCCTTGGCAAACCTGGAAACAAGGAGACACACAAATGTCCACTATGCTTAGTTTTTTTGTCAACTTGACATAAGCTATCATCATCTGGAAAGGAGGACTTCAACTGAGAAGATGCCTCCATCAGATTTCTTGTTAAGCAAGTCTGTGGGGTATTTTCTTGTTTAATGATTGATATTTTAAGGTCCAGCCCACTGTGCGCAGTGCCACTCCTAGGAAGGTGGTCCTGGGTATTAAGAAAGCATGCTAAGCAAATGGGAGGAAGCAAGCCAGAAAGCAGTATTCCTCCAGAGTCTCTAAGTTCCTGCCTCAAGGTTCAGGTTCCTGAGTTCCTACCCTGGCTTCTCTCAATGGTAGACTGTGACCCGTGAGCTGAAATAAACCCTTCTCCTCCCTAAAGTTGCTTTTGGTCAACGTGTTTTATCATAGCAATACAAAAACTAATGCATCCAGCTTCTCTTTTTCCTTCCTCTGTCTCTGCAACACTCCGTGGTATCAACTAAGTTATCCCTAAGATACAAAACAACACCAATGCTCTGCTCCCCTTTCTACCTACAGCACCTGTCTCTGGACCTCAGAATAGCACAGGCAGCAAGATTTTGTCACAAGGAACCACTTTAACATACTGGAGAGTAGAAATGAAGAAAAAGAGATTTAGCAAATGAAGAACTTGAATGGAACAGTTGGTCACATATTGTTTCCCTCACCAAAAAATGAATTTCTTTCTCTTGCCTGTGCCCTGTAGTCATTCCTTCAAGAAGCACATGCTGAGCATAGTCTGGCCAGAATCTATCTATCAGGTGGTTCAATATGAGCAAGGGATAAATAGGAATACCAGCTACACAATCCACACCAAGACCCTGCACTTCCCTAACTCCTCCCTGCTAATGTGATTGCCAAAACTGAACCCAGCATCTGGCACAAGGGTGCCTGCCTGGAATATAGGAACACAACTATCCAAATAGGCACCATTCAGTGATCCTACTGTGTACATTCAAGATGAGTTTAATTTCTGTTCATTTTTACAATATTTCTACTTATGGGAGAATTCAGAGAAATGAAGTGACTCTCCCAAAGTCACACAACAAATACCTGAAGACTCACAGTCAGAGCCTCAGACTTGAGGCATGTGGCTTTTCCATCTTAACACTGATTCCCTGGCACAACTGCCAAGGATCCAGGCTTTCACAGGGGTTTTCAGTGCTGGGGCTAGAACCCAGAACCTGTGTATGCTAGACAAGCACTCTACCAGGGAGCTATGCTCCTAGTTTTATTTTTCACTTTTCTTGACAATTCATCAAGTGAACATGATGGGGAGAGGACAATTTCAATTTAACAACTAGCAGAAATAAAATGTATGCAAGCACATAATTAGGGGACACAGTGCCTAGAAAATATATCATTCTGAACATGTTCCCACATTAGTTTCCTTCCTTTTCTTTGTTTATGGTTTTGTTTCCTTGCTAAGTCATCCATGGCTTGTGGCTTTGAACTGTCAAGCCTCCCAAATGCTGGGACTACAGGCATGTACCATGGCACCCAGGTCCCTAGGTCAGTTTTCTTAAGCCCACTCCTTCATGCATTAATTAACAATTCCACTAACTTAAAGCTCCCTGGAGTAGGGAGTCTTTATCTCTATAGAGGAAACAAAGCACTTTCAAGAGGAAAAAAAAAATTCTTTAAGAAAAAACTTGTATACTTAGCATTAACAGCACACGTATATTACTTATTATACACTTAGAGCTGCATGCTTAAAAATTCTAACAAACACAAAAACAGGCCAACACACACAATAGCCTCCCTCCCTAAATCTGAACACTCAAACATCAGTGAAAAAGAGCCAACAGGACCAAGTTTAGCCAGCCAGTGTTGATTTATCATCCCTGACAGTTTGTCTGATATACGCCAGTGGCCAGTTGCCCTTACAAAACAAAAGGAAAGTGCTGAGAGTAAACAGTTAAGTATCAAGTCCCCAAGTCAATGCAAAATGAGGAAAACACCAGAAGAGCTACAAACAGAGGAAGGAGACAACCACCAGAACCAGACAGGAAGACAAAGCAGAGAACCTGCTAAAAATTTGTGATCTATGATCCATGACAATCACCTGACCATGTGTGCACACATCATAGGGGAAAGGGAGCCTGTTTATCTCACGTAACATCTTAATTTCTACCTTAAGGTCAAAGATACCTCAGCACAAGGCTGGGGTGCTGCTCCGTGGTAGAGAACTTATTATTAGCACAAGCATGGAAGGCCCTGGGTCAATCCCCAAGCACCACAAACACAGAAAATCACCATTTAAAAAAATACCTTATAGAGACCAAAGATATAATTCAGTATTTAAGTGCACTGGCTGCACTTCCAGAAGACCTGGTAAATTCACAACACCAACACCTTGGCTGCAAGCCCTCTTTACTCTAGCTCCAGGCATCTAATGCCCTCTTCTGGCCTTCATGGGCACCAGGTACACAGGGATACACCCAAACAGATAAAAATTTTTAAATACCATAATATAAAGTAAGATGACTATCTGCAAATGATGAAACAATTCCCCCCAGTTTATCTGGAGACATGTCAGAGTCCAAAACTCACACTGCAACTGACTCAACATCCCTGTACAACATCCCTGTGTACAACACTGCTTTTTCTTCTGCTGTACTATGTACTCCCCAAAGGCAAAGCAGCTGCAGCACACCCAAACTGCAGGAAAGTAACATGGACATCTCATTCCAAGGCAGCAGACTTTTTCAGACAGGACTGTGTTCTCATAGATACTTAAATCTCACAATAACTGGACAGTAGCTCCAGACATTCCCGAATGTGTTGATTAGTTTGTCAACTTGATGCATGCTCAAGTCACCTGGAAAAGGGGACTCTCAAAAAAAAAGAAAAAAAAAAAAATGCTGCTCCCATGAGACTGGCATGCAGGCAAGCCTCTGGAGTAGCATCCTGATTCATGATTGATGTGGGAGGGTCCCGCACAGAGAGGGCAGTGCCACACCTGAGCAGAGGGTGTACAAGGAGACATACTAAGAAAGCCATAGGAAGCAACTTCGAAGTATTCCTCCATGGACTCTGCTTCAGTTCCTCTGAGTTTCTGCCCTGAGTCCCTTGATCAATGGATTATAATCTGCCAGGTAAAACAAATCCTTTCCTTCCCAGGTAATGTTTGGTTGGGTGTTTCATCACAGCACTAGAAAGCAGCACAGAAGACCATGTGACCAAGCTTACTAGTCTAGCCCCTGCATCACTTTGACAATCTAGATACAAAGAATGAGCATGAGATGGATGGGGAGGTGGATTAAGGACCCATTCTTTTATTTTTAGAAAGAAGGCCAAAATCTGGGAGAGGTGAGGAGTAGTGGCCTCCAATTCGGTATAGTGGTCAATAGTAATGCCCTATAGGGAGGCTAGCAGTGCCTCAAAGATAATAAGGAACTGCTGTCAGACTGTGGCAGACTGAGAGACCCCCAAGCCTTTCAAAAAGGAGGCATGTCCCCTGTTCTTCCCGTATGACACAAGTGAGGAATAAACAAAAAGTAGCTGACCCAGGCACCACAGAGTTAGTTAGATAGAAAATTCAGACAGGCAATAATCAGCTCATCTATTTTACCACATGAGGTTCAAGCACACCTTCCAAAGACAAAGGCACCTATAAGAACGCACCATTAAGGGCTGGACCCAACAATCTAATCCTTCTGGACCAAGAACACGGTTCTCACAGTAAACCCTAGGCTAGCACTACTTCCATAGCCTAACATGACTCCACTTTTACAAGGTACCAGAAACCAGAACAATTTAGATCACACACTGCTCTAACAAATGAAGGCTCCTAAAATGCAAATAGGACACAAAAAGCAGCTGAGAGAGAGAGGTCATCTCACCTCCACTCCTCTGTCTAGGCTGTTTTCTCAGCACTAGCAATCCAACATGACCAAAGCCCCCAGAGAGCCTTGGGAAAGTCAGCATGGGTAGGAGACACGGGGAGACTGTGAAGGGATAAAGGACAGAAATATTCCTAGTCCAGTGGTTTATGAAAAAAGACCCAAAAATGGCCCCAGA